TCTGCGGGTATCTGGTGCTTGCATTGTACCTTGGGTGTTTGCTTCGGACCGGACATTACCATCGTGGACGCCTCAACGGAGTTTAGCAGGTTTGCTCCACATCACATCCTTATCGGTGTTCGTACAAACCATAGACATTGCATGAAACATGGTGCCATGGCTTGCTGACCTGCCTCGACACAGGAAGACCAACGCTAGAGCTACGATGTGGTAGCAGTTAACATGCACACTCGGTCCAGCATACCCGCTGTCAACATGACGCCCACATTTGCAGAGGCTCTGCAAGGACTGAAGATGAAAGTCGCAGAGCAGTCCGAAGGCTTGTAATTAGACGCAGGTAGACTTTCCACTTACCATCATTTTGCGCGGGGCCACTGCTGTGGCAGGCTCAGGGGTGCCGTCACTCGTTTTGGCCGTGAGTTCTGGCGCGCTTTACAGGCAGACCAACACATGTTGTGCGCGGAGGGGCCTTGTACTTCACGTTCGCCGCTTCTTGCAATGCGGTGCTACTTGGGTGCCTTGCTTACCCTCGCACTTGAAAAAGTGTTCGCTGTTCGCTCCTTGGGTGCCCTGCTCGGCCTGACCGTTGCTGCGCGATGCTCTTCGGGTGCCCTGCTAGGCCTTGCACTTCTACGTGTGCGATGCCCACTGTCCGCGGTGTGACCCCCCTCGCCTTTCTTGTTGCCAGCTTGAACTCCAGATGGAATGGACATCAGGGGACTCTGACGGTTGCGGAGCCCCCTATGAATCTGGGACTAGTGTTTTAGGCACGGCTTCCCACGAGTTGCCATTTTCTCGTTGAATCCGGATTTAATAGCACCATTTCGCAGAACAAACGGCCAAGACTCGTGCACGTGATACACGACCGTCACAAGCACAGAACGAAATTGAAGGGTGGTTCACGTTCTGGCCGGGGTCCATACTGGCACTACATTGGACCTGCATTGTGTAGATTCGAGGTTCTCGGTGTGTGACGGGATCGGCAGTGGCTGTTCCTCAGCTTGCTACATTTGTTGCTGGTGGCTAAAGTGCCAGGAGCCGACTGCTCCAGATGCTGAGGCACCCCCCGTGCGCTGCTTCATACTGCTTTCCATGTGTGGTGCCTGTGCTTTCAAAGCCCAGGAGTCGAAGCTGGAGGATACCACGAAACCATTCTGGAAGGCGTTTGAAAAGAGAACGCTCAACATACTCAACTATTTCCGGGTCAAAGCCTCGATGTTGAGAGCGGAAGCATTGAAAGGCTGGTTCGCGGTCCTCCATCGTTTTGGACAGCATGGGGTCCAAAGCTCAGGTGTCCGCTAGTTTTAAAGGTGGGGTCTGCGAAGCTTTTGTATGTCGGGTTGTTTGCAATGGGCGTGTGGACTGAGCGCTTCAGAAGTTGTGCTCAGGCAGCGCCGGACGATGCCAGAGCAGCTTGAGAAGGCTCTGGGTATCTCGTTGATTTAAGCAATGGGTATGCAGCTTAGAGAGGGTCTTGAGGCTGCAGTCAAAGCACGCGTACTCGAAACTTCTTGCTGCTTCATTCTGCTTTGTGCCCTCAGGCGAACCCTGCCTTCGTCTGTTTTCTGTGCCGCTTCGTGATGGTCAGGCTCTGGACTGAACGGGCTAGGCTTGGGATTGGGCGTTTCTCGGCAAGCTGCGAAGTATTTCAACTATACCACGGCCGTTTGTTTTCGAAGTAGGGGGAGGCGGGGATGAATTGGATGGGAGGTGGGCAGGCTGACGGCCAGTTGGCGCCCATAAAGAAATCATGCAATCCCGATAGCCCATTCTCATAGGGGGTCAAAATGATTGGCTGAGAATGCGTACATGGGTTGAGGGCCTCGTCCCGTCATGGGCCAGAGTGATTGGGTTTGCGGGTTAATGGGTTCATTGGTTAATTAATGGGTAAATGGATGTTAATGGACGTTAATGGGTTTAGCGCGATAGTTGGGACAAAGCGATTGCGAGACGCTTCAGGGCGGGAGCCAAAGGACATCGACATGCCATTTCGTCACAGTCAGTCTCCTTTTCGAAGCAGCCACTCGCATTGGCTAAAACTCGCATTTGATTGTGAATAGCTTTCTTCAAATAGCTGACCTCCATTTATTTATGTTACCAGTAACGACATTAGTTAAGAATCTTTCCGTTTTAGCTTGGGAGAGAACTAATGTGATTGATAATCCTTTTCTGCAGGTTCAATGCAATTTATTTGAGAATATGTTAGAGGCAATGTGGTCTTAACATCAAGTACGCAATTAGAGACTAGACGCAACACTCGTGAGCCACATATGTTGCCTTGATCTGCCTTGTATACACACATGTTGCAACATGTTTGATTTGTACTTGCACATTAGTTCCCACCAATTGCAAATGCAAATAGTTCGGCCAATCAGCTGGGTGGATGCCATGCTGCCAGGCTACAGCGCCCCCTCAGTTCCCCAAACAACAGCTGTGGCAGAAATGAGGAACCCGCCTGGTTGGATGGGTGGAACATGGCTCGGGCCACCTTCCCCAGCTCCCGTCAGTTGGTAAGGGGAGCTTTGATACGCATGTGCCGCATTTTTGCAGTATGCCGTGGTTTGAATGCAACGCCGCTCTGTGGCCCAGCGTTGCTTGAAACTAAACCTGCATTGAACCCCCCATTAAGCCTGCCAATACTTTGCAGGTATGTAGGTACGACGAAATTGTTCTGCATCGCAGAGATATTTCAATCCCTACCGATTACTTGCCTTAGCAGGTGATAAGCACCCTTGTAATTGTAATATCAGTTACACATTCTTCGCAAAGTGTGTGTTGATGTCTTTGTCCTTCTTCCCTTCACTGTTCTGGTCTTCTGAATTGGCTTGCTTGTTTCGTTACTACTTTTTTCTGACCTTGCCTTTTGAACATTTGCCGGTTGCTGCTGCTGTTCCCATTACTTTCTGAGCTTGAGACAATAAGATAGAGGCGGAAGGGAAGAGCCAGGAAGGAAATACATAGATACATAACGTGGAAGCCAAACAGTAATGAGACATAAGAATAACGAAAGATCGCAACAGCTTGTTGCTGCGAAAGACCGCGGAAGAGTGGCAGCTTGGTGGCGCGGGCAGCCACTGCGATCCTCCATGCTGTTGATGCGGGGAGGGGCCGAGGTAGTTTCGGCAGGCTGTAGTAGCGTGACGAACGCTGCTGCCGCAGTTGCCGAAAGACAAGCCGCCGGAGGTAAAACCTGAACTGCATAATGTGTTCTTGCCCGTGTGTTGGAAGGATACTGTGAACCGGTGCTTGCCAACTCGTCTGCTGCATGTAGATGGAAAAGTAAACGAGTATGCGCCTTCGACACAAGGCCAGGGGTTGAATCAGGGGCTGTGCTCACTCCATTGCTTAAGCTGGCGTGCTTGCTTCAAGAAACACGTCCCATACCACCCGCACGTAGACGGAGGTGTGTCTCTGGGCAATGGGGTTTGTTCTTGTCTTGTTGGGCGGCTGACGGCATGTTTGGCTTAGGTTGCATGGATAGGAAGATATGAGGATCCCATTCAGAATTGGTCGGAGGCATGTGCTGTACCAGGAATGTCTCAGGAGTTTGTCGAAAACCAATCATTACACGGAGATCTTTGCTTTTTGCTCAAGCCTCTCAGAACGTTGGTGTTTTTTGAACACGACACGGCCAGTTGTACCGCTTTGCTCCAAGAATGTCCTCGATCATTTTGTGATCGCAAATTCGGTGGGCTGCGCCCCGCACTTTTTGAAACCGTGCATGCTTGCTCCATTGCTCACAAGCATCATGATATATCACTCGCTTGCACACGAAGGTGCTTGCGTGAGCTTTGCGTTTATTCTGTTTCGGTTTAGCTGTGAGGTGTGGCAGGTTGCTAGCATCTTAGGCCCTGACAAGCACGGACATGGTCGCAAGGAGAGGAACACAGAGGGTCCAGATTAGAATTATGTTAAAGGTATCGCGATGTCTTAGGGTTCAGAGCAAAACAGGATCCTTCAATGAAGCACTCACATTCTGTCCCCGCTTGCAGGCCTGTCATCACAAAGTGCTCGCACTTATTTTGCGAGAGCTGCTTCAAACAATGGGCCAAAAAGCAGGTGGGGTCGCATGCTGGTCGCTGCAGTTCACTTCATTCACTTCATGGGAAGTGACGCTGCAGGTAGATCTCCACAAAAGTCAGAAGACTCAGGATGGACCTGTGCTGTTCTCGGCCTTTATGAGTCATCTCTGATTCGTCGAAGCAAAGGACATGTTGACTGCAGCTGACAATGCTGTCGGGAGTCGTGCCGGCGTAAGCAATCGCAAGCCTTCGATCAGGTTCCGAAGATCAGATGCCCTGCGCCTGATTGCAAAGAACTCCTGATGAGAACAGATGCAAAGCCGGCACGGATTCTGAGGTTTCACCAGTCCGCTTCCAGGTAAACTCTCTCAGGTTAATCAAGCTGCCTAAGTGGAATGACTTTGGCCAGTCGCGCCTCATCAGGTCACAGAATCTTAATAGTGTCGCCACGCGATGCGCCTCGGCCCGCATGCTGGGAGCGTGCCCCAGCGGTCCTTCTGAACCCAGCAGATCGGGCCCAGAAGCAACCCCGTAGCCAAGAAGAGTGTGCAGCAGACAGGATTATCACCTGTGCATTACCAGCCTCACACACACACATACGGTACAGCTGGCAAGGGGGGGAGGTGGGGTGGGCATGGGTGGGCCCGTACAGGGTCAGTAAGGCCGAGAAGGTCAGGCTAACAAGCGGGTCCGGGGGCCCTGAAGGAGGACTGAGTTGTGGGTTTCAGAGACGCTGCTAGAATTTTATCGGCCGAGGAGTGGCCGAGGCCTCGGCAGATTAAAAGACAGGCTTTTGTCAATGGGTACAGTATGGGTATCTTCCAGAAGCTATAGCTACAGTAGCTTCTCGTCCTGGCAGGTTGAGTTGGCAGCCAGGACCTGAGAGGAAGGGCTGTAGTGGCTAGTGTGCTGTGGATGACAGCTGAAGTGCCTCCTAAGGACGATGGTAAATCGGGCGGAGCCCAGGTTATCCAGCGAATGCGAACCAACTTAAACATCCGCTGCGTGCACCATCGCGATCATCACAAGTCGCCTCCTCGTGTCTCCGACTCCTAGAAGGAGTTCTCGCATCTCGTGCCCACGCCAAGGTTTGCTTTTGGGAAAGATGCTGAGCGTGTTTTCCAGGACCAAGGTGCAAAGGGTTGCCTGCTTCTGTTTCGGGCAGGTATCAGAGCTAGCACGTCACAATCAAGACATTCGCAGTACTCGACGAATGAACTGGGTCGAGCGGTTAGATCAGTTGTCCAGTAGCATTGCTCTAGTGCAAAAGCATGAGCTATCATGCGCTCAAGCCACCACAGCCGCCGTGATCAGGAATTTCTTGCAACTGGAGTGGCCCCCCCGCTGCATACGAGGACAGCTGATAACGTCAAGAGACCTGTTCTCAGTCGTTTCCGAAAAGCCTGTGGATGTTGTCCGACCTGCACACACAACATTTCACAACATTTCACAACATCTCACAACATCTCACAACATCTCACAAGCTAATTCTACAGAAGCTACCGAAGCAGATAGCACAATCCACCGTGAAAAAGTAATGTTGAAATGCTTTGAAGCAGGTCGGGGGTTGGACTCTTCACAAGCTACCCAGTCCCTGACCCACAATAGCGTGCAACTGAGCCTGTAAACTTGAGCCTGCCATGTTTCTGCCACGACAGACTTTTCACAGCTGGCCATTTCGATCCACACTCTTGTAGCCGGCTTGTAGTCTTGTGCCATCCACCGGCCTTCCAACTTGGAAGTCCGGATGTAGTTTTCCCGAGTGCTTGGACACTGGTGTTTGCATCAGGTTTTCGCAGTCTTTGCATGCATCTGGCTTGTAGCATGGCTGTGACTGCAAGGAGCATGTGGCCAGCGGCTGCCAGGTTGAAAAACACCTTAAGTGCTCCTGGCCGCCCGATTGACTGTTTGCGCGTGTAGGGTGCTGCTGCGTAAACGGTTCCTAATCATGTTGCCAGGTCCGCAGACGAAGCGAAGGTTGCTGATGATGCAACTCTCGGTGCGCTGTCGCATTTCGCGTGTGCTGTGGTGCTGATAGTTGTGGTTTAGATGTTGATGCTTTCACGTCCCTCCAAAATGCCAATAACACGCACTTTGTTACGGCTGTTAAGGCTGCTTTTTCACATCCCATGAAGATCTGATCGTGTGCAGCCGGCTTGTGCCAGACGCCGATGTAACGAACAATGAGAGCACAAGATCCCAGTACGAGCCCAGCACTCGGTTCGATTCCTGAGGGCTTTGGCCTTGGGGCTTAGCGACATTTAGCAGAAATTTAGCGATGTTTGTGTGGATGTGAAGTAAATGCTGTTGCTTTATTTGCTTTGTTTACTTCGCAGGGCTGAGCCGGAACCTGAAGACTCGGTCACTGCAGGGCCCTCAAAGTGAGCGTTGTGACAAGGTGTGCGCATGTGCTGGTAGCACGTGATGCGTGAGTTCATTCGAGTTCGGGGGGTTACTCAGGTTCTGGAGGGGTCTGCTCCAGTGCTGCAGGCTTCGGATGCCATGCCTGCAGTCGTGCTGACACGAAGCTGACACGAGCCTGAAGTGCAGGAGTCCAACATGGTCAATATGGCTGATGATGGCGAGGCGAGATCTTTATTGCTCCGGAATTCAACAGTATCTTGCTTTTCGATGTATCCGCGTGTGTACGTCTGTACACTAGCTCTGGGAGATCTCCACAGGTCCGTGTGGCTATGTTCGATTACATGCCCGCAGAAGGAGTCGAGGCTGGTTTGTTGTGCCTTCAGATGTTGGTTGCAAGCACAGGGGCAGCATTCCCAAACAATTGTGATTCATTCTTCTTTCTACTCAAAAGAACAAGCACCATGCGACTGTCGATGGGGAAGCGTCGGAAGCCGATACCAGGAAGAAACACCACTACAACATGCATGCCCACCGGTGGTGGTCTGCATAGCATTGACAGTTGGGTGGCTAATCTTCATGAATGATGCATGTGCTCTGCAACGTCAGATACAAACAAGCCTGCCACCAGCAAACTTCACAGACAAAGAAATGTTAAGAGAACGGGTGAAGCACTGCTGGGCCTGCTGCGCAGGGCCAAATTGCAATTGGCAAGGGAGACCTCATCAAGGTTTTCAAGGCATTTGGTTTGCTTGCGACAGAGTTCCGCTCCAAAGGCCAGCATGGCGAGACCGATACCGAAAGAGGAGTGAGCGGTGTGCAGGTAACTGAAACTGGCTGGGCTGCGGGGGTCAAGCTCTGCCAAGCCCTCGAATCCAATTGTGAGCCGAATCTTGGACCGCTCGAAGTGAGTGTTTTTCAGGCAGAGAGACCAAGATGGACTACGGAGACGTGGGCTGGTTTCCGGCTGGTTATCTTGCTGGTGCCGACGAGGCCCGACGTGCTCCTGCATCTTGTGGCCGGAGGCTGGCCAGAGGCTGATGTTTCCGATGGCAGGAGGGGCTGCAGGAAGAGACGCTCGGAGCTTGGGCTTGCCCTGTGCACTTGTTATTTATTCGTATCGGATTACTTCGCACTAGTCAGCCTCTTGTGCTTCGCCGCAGCCTTCACAGACAGCCGAGCAGCGTCGCGATGCCATTCGAATTCAGGATTGGAGTGCCCATACATGGGCTCATGAATGCTTTTCAACAGCCCTACAAGAAGTTCCAGCGCGCAAGCCTGGTTCCACTTGGCAGACGCTTAACTTGGAAGATGGAAGACAGAGGTTGAGACACAGGCCATTTCGCAGGCCGCGGCTGCACCTGCCCACAGTTTCTCGAGGTTCGTCAGTCACGCCATCCCAGGGTACAGTGCCGGCGAGGAGTGGCCCGCCCGTTTTCGCTGGGAGTACCCTGGAGCTAACTTTCGCAACGTTGCCGTGCCGCAGACGGTCCTGTCCTGAGAAAGAGGACACCTGGCCGACGCTTGCGCCGCGCTCTGTCTCCCCCACTTGGATGCAGAAGACACCCTCGTCCAACCTGCACACGTGCTCACGCGCTGCGTGTGGAAGAACTTGGACACTAGTGTTCACACGCCGACGGACGCGGCGCTCAACCGAACGCCTGCGCGGCAAGAGGCAGCCCAAGCCACCGCCCCTACAACAAAACAGTGCTGCAACGGCCTCCTAGCGCCATCGCAGACGAGCAGAACCTGCAACCAGCAAGCCCGCCTGCGGCAGCGCGTTGAGGCGCAATGGATTGCCATTCGCACACATCCCCAGAAGCCTCCCTGCACAAAGCCATTCGCGCGCGCTGTTGTCGTACTAGTGCCTTTGTTTCTCGGGGGAATCCGACAAGGCTGTAGACTACTGAACTGAGCCGTGCACAGAACTAGCTTCTCACTGGCTCGCCGGCTCACCCATAGCCGCCATAGCCCATACCCCACACCGAACATCCTCTCAAAACATGAGTGCAGGCCCTGACATCCCAGTCTGAAAACAGTACACATTTTCACTTTTTTTGCATGTTGTTGCTTCAAAGACTGGCAGCTAATTGTGTAGTTTGGAGCATGGTAGTGGGGTTACGTGCAACAGATTCCTCCGTAGCACTTTCCAGCATGTTCAAAGTCAGCTTGAGCTTGCTGCCTCGGATGTGTGCTTTGCGTAGGGCCGCCAACAAAGCAACTTCGCACTTCGGATTTCGTCGGGCATACTTCGTCGTACTTCGTCGTGCATATATCGTCATGTTTCGTACGTCTTGCTTGGTATAGTTGCCCGGTTCTTTGACACCCGAGGTGACGCGCGGCTGCGGTTACAGCCTGGACAGCGAAGCTGGCACCTTCGGTCAAAATCGTAGGATGGTGCGCCGCATGCTGGAGCTGAAACAGCTGGAGCTCATGGCCCCGGGTGGGCGCATTTTCTTTTCGCGCGCTCTTGTGAGCGTGCAGGTATACTATCAGTGCAGTTTCAGTTTCACAGCAACTCTAGCAAGAGCATGGGAACGGGGACAATAAGAATTCTTTTCAGGTTTGAGAGACTTCCATGGCAGTTTCTGGCGTGTTGTCATAAGATAGTGTTATTTGGCTCATCATGTTTCGTCGTGACTCAGCATGGCCCATCTGATCTCTTATGACTCAAGAGTGACTTAGCATGACCCAACTCGTTGGTTAGTATGTGTATCTACACGGGACAGATTTGAGACCCCGGGCTTGCACCAGCTGCCCGGTTCGCTGTCTCAGGCACATGATTCCATGACATTCAACGATTGGGGCTTGATGGGGGTTACCGTTGTCGCGCCCATTTTCCGTACTTCCGAGAAATCTGGAATGCACCCATGCATGCCAGATTCAGGTGAATTTCTGTCGCCCACAGAGGGCGCTTGCAGAGCACAGGAAGGGCGAGACAGGGCTAGAGAAATGAAAGTGTCGCAACTTGGTGAGTTGGTGCGGGAAGTCAATGGACCAGCTTTGATTCTGTGTGGCAAGTTGCTACGCATGCTGATGGTCCCGGACTCACCTAGTTCATCTCAATTTTCAGGCTCATAAGCGTTGTTGAATAGCCTAGCAAACGCAGTGGACTCCTCAGATGCTCGGCTGCAGTGGGAATACTGTGTTGCCTGGTTGACTCGCGTCAACGAAGCCGTTTGATTTTGCATCCGCGCTCAGGACTGGTGGCCGAGACTTGGCCTGGACCTGAGAACTCCTGAGAACTCCTGAGAACGAGGGCCGCGTCCTAGGGTTGTGATGACCATCGCGATGTGTGGGTGTCGAAAGTCAGCTTCTCCAGCTCTCCCTGGCATCAAAGCATGGGCAGAACTTTCATGCGTAACGTGTGCTGAAGCGCAATTGGCCATGTGCCAAGAGATCCCAAGGGACGGGAAGCAGATGTCATGAACCCTCAACTAAAACTTAAGACGTCTTAAGGCTGCATTTCTTTGAGCAGCTTCGTAAACCTCTGACTGCGTCTCACTCGCAGAACAGCACACGGTGCCATGGCCGAGAGCTTGGAGCCCACACAGGCAGGTGATAATAATAAGAACATGGACTTGCGACTGGTGACCACCTTTCCAGCAGCCCTCCCCTGAATGTGAGGCTAGGTAGAATCACAGCATGTTCCTGAATCGCCAGATGGCCGTCCTTGACTCTCGAACTTTGCCAGCATGTGCACTCCCAAACAGCTCACATCATCGGTGGAAGCTGAAGACTCATAGTTTTCGCCTTCAAGGGTCTCCTTAACTACACACCGCATGGTAGTTTGTAGCGCTGTCCAGCTGCCAGTCGTGAGCAAGAAATTGGCTTAGACCGAGCATCGTGAACATCTACTCCTCTATGGGGCATGCCTTCCAGAAGTTCAGAACACAAGAGCGACAATAACATCGACATTCTCTTCTTTACCGATCACAGCCGAGCGATCAATGTTCAATTACGTCGGTTTGCAGCAAGGCGCTGAACAATCTAAAAACCGATGTTCCTTGTGACACGGTAGCGGCACAGAACACTGTAAAAAACGAGGTTCTCGACAACCCCCCCTGCCAAGTGTGGACATGTGAAAACGTCGATAACATATTAACGCGCGTCGTTTTTGAAAGTGCAAAACGCATGAAACACTGTCAACAACGATATTTTCGAGCACGCGTGCGAAACCTGAGAAACAAACCACGATTTCGAAGTTGAGAAACAAGGACAATGCTGTAAATAGCGATGTTTTGGAAGGATCAGGTAGCGCCGCTAAACTCGACAACCCGTCCACGGCATCGAGCGAGGCAAAAAGAAGAAGAAGGAAGAAGAAGAAGGAGACTAAGAATAATAAGAAGAAGGAGACTAAGAATAATAAGAAGAAGAATAAGAAGACGAACAGTAAGAATAAGAAGAAGAATAAGAAGAATAACAATAATTGTTAGAAGAAGAACAACAACAAAAAACAATAAGGTTCTTTGCAAGCGCACACGTGGGTGCGCGCGTGTGCGCCACAGTGGTTAAGGATGCGCGCACGCGCAGGCTCGCGCCGTGTCCGGACCATGTTTCGGGGTTGTTTACAGGCCGCGCAACCTTCCTCAACCCCATCCCCCCCAACCGGTCCTGCTGATGCTGCTGATGCGCGTCCTTGGGCTTCTGGATGCCGGGAAGGGTTGGCTCCAAGGCCTCCACAACGGTAGCAAAAACAGTTCACCCAGTAGATCCAGATTTCCAGCCTACGGTCCAAATTTGCGCAGCATTCGGATTGAGACTTGATGCGCACATACAGGGCTGAGCGTTGCGGCTCTGATTCTCACGTGTCCGGCGACCTCGGTAGACATTCGTGCCACATTGCATCGCAACTAGGTCGCATCTAGCCTGAATTAATGGAGGTTTCCGCGAGTTCAGAGCATCTCTTGCCCACGTTGAGCCGCTTGGCAGCCAGGCGCAGCGGGAAAGGGCATGAAAGGGACATGCGACACGGATGAACAGATTCTCAGCGTTGAAGGCTGGAAGCAGCCTTCGTCTCTTCAGAAGCTTCTGGGCATGAATATCGTTAATCTCCGACTGCAGGAAGGACTTGTCTTTTAGGGCAGCAACATCTGCTCTTTGTCCTCTAGGTGTGTGAACTCCGATGTCACTAAGGCCGAGCTGCGGCTTGCGTGTCGGGAGGTGCACCAGAGCTTAGAGCAGCTGGTCCACGGATTCCACGTTCCAGACACGCCCGGAAGCTTGACTTGGTGAGCGGCTTTGTTGAGAGTGCGAGACAGAATATGACAATCGTAGTGCGCATTTAGTAGCTTAGAACATAGTAGCAGATGTCACCTACACCCTCCCGTCGGAGATGAAGTTTGGGGTGCCGGGTTGAACCAGCCATAGCTGACACCCTCGCGATGACAGAGCAAAGCTCATCTTAGGCTTGTCCCTTTGCGTGCAGCGTCAGCCAGAGAACCCATTCGACCAGCTGCTTCCCTTGATGAAGGACACAAAGAATGTGGTGCTGTGCAAAGGTGTCTGGATCTCAGTTGAATATGTTGTTAACCTCGTTACTGGGGCTCATGACTGCTCAACGTGATGCCACGTTCGTACGTTCGTGTGGCCGGAGGTGCCGCCAGATGAGTACTTACCGCTGGATACAATCAGCTTCACCGTAAAGGATGCGGATGGCACCAAGGGCATTCAGTGACTGGTCTTTCAAGTCCTCCTGCTTTCACTGGAATCAGGCAACTTCACAGAACCAAGGACTGTGAACATTGATGCTGCGTCGACAACGCTGGCACAGCGATACCCGGCTTTGGCATGGGGGCAGCTGAAACTAAGCTTATCAGAGCTTTGAAGTCTGATTGGCTATTGTGACCAGCGTGCTGGCAGAGCATGTGTTGAGCAAGGAAGAGTATCCTCTACGAACACACTCGAAGTGCAGCTTTGTTTTGCAGATATCATGGCTTGCAGCTTCAACCGGGTTCTGTTATGACGCGTTCTCGAGAAGCAGAGCTCGAGGTATGCAAGCCTGCAGCCAGTGAATGGGCCATTGCGCTGAGTGCTGGAAGCATGTCTGCTCTGGACATTGCCATCACCATGCTCTTCGTCTGTCTCCTGTGTTATAACTGTTCAGAGTCGTCAGCATGGTTTACTGGAAGAGGCTCCTTCATTGCCTGACAAGGTTCCTCAACCCTGGCGATACCATTCTGGTGGAAGAGTATCTCGGCGTCACGTCCGAGCAGCTGGCTTTGGGGGAGGGGGGCATACATTGAAGCTGCAAGTTTTGCACGCTATCTGTTTATGCTTGTGCTTGTGCTTGTGTTTGTGTTTTTGTTTGTCGTTGTACCTGTGCTTGTTATTGTTCTCGTCCTCGTCCTCGTCCTGGTCCTCGTCCTCGTCCTCGTCCTGGTCGTGGTGGTGGTCGTGGTCGTCGTCGTCGTCGTCGTCGTCGTCGGGTGTGTTTAACTAAAAGGCCACTAGCTACGGCCTTATCTGAAGTTGGACCACGTCATCCGTGTCCCCTCTGGATGCAACGTCCCCGGATCCCAGGTACACATTCTTGGCAATGATCGATGCTTGCCTTGCTGCGGGATTGCGCCAAGCTTGAAGGCAGCAAGACGTCGCAGCACACCCACACAGCAATGGTCCCATGAGCACATGCTTCCGGGAATTCGTTTGCAGTTCAGGGCACATGCATGAACAAAGTCAGATCGCCCACACTTAGTTGTCTGCGAGAAGCAGAAATGTTCTCGACTCTCGACACACAAAGTTCACCAACAGTCCTTCTTCGTGAAGGAGGAAGCTGCAGCTGCAGAACTGAGGCGCTTGGTACCCGTCTCCTGTGATGCTGGTGGTCTTTGCCCAGATTCGCTTGAAGGCGTTCTGAACGCCGAGCGAAATGCTGGACGAGTACCCAAGGTTCTGTACACTGTCCCAGTGCACTCCTTGGACACGAACGACTCTAAATACTGTGATCTTATATGTGCTTGATAGCTGCTTGCAGCACCTCTTGTGCTAGTCTTGCGCCGTAACTTTGTTAGGTTGGGCAGAACCCTCTTGGGACGCGACTTCCCAATCAACGTTACGAAGCCATCTACAGCTTGTGTCGCCCGCCTGACGGATGGTACAGTGTTTGTACAACTCGTCCTTCCTGCAAGAACTGCAGCAGTTCGCGCGCTCGATTGCGCATCGCCTGTGAAAAGAAGCGAGGTGCTGAGAATGGCGTCTTCATTCTGGAGGACGACGCATACTACTACCAGCAGCACAATGCGCACGATGATCTGCGGGATGACGATGAATCTGCTGTCGGTGGACTGGAGAAGCTGGGGACCACGTTTGTTTCCCTTGACCACCGAGGCCCTCGGGCGCGGCCCGGTGCTGTTGCTTTTCTTGTGATGCTATGTGTAGGGCATGCTGTTGAGCCGAGTTGAGCCGAGTTGAGCCGACTCGCAGGCATCGTACTCCGCTTGGACTCCTTTGCGAAGATGCTAGCGCCCGGCTTCCGTCTGGGCTGGGTCACCGGGCCAAAGCGCCTCGTCGAGGCCCCACGGAGGTCGCTTTCACATCTGAAGGGATCTCTTCGGGCTCTGGGATGAGTCTTGTTGCTCCTTTTGCTCTGCTCCTGCGCTCTTTAGCCGGAAGCATTACGAAGGCCTACGAGAAGCTGTGCTACATCTCCACGCAGCAGGGAAGTTCTTTGGCAATGGTTTGCCTCGCCTCGTTGCTGTCACAGTGGGGGAGATCTGGGTTGCAGGCCGGGGCTCATGGCAACATGCTGACCGAAACTGTCATCCCACCGAAAACAGTTATCCCTTTCAATCTGCTGCAAGTACGATTCGGGACACCACACACACACACTCACTCACTAGACAGTTGGAAAACGTCAAAAAGCATGGGAACAACATCACAAAACTCCACCTCCCTGTTGCCATGCGATGGGAAAGGGCATTCTATGCAGAATATGACAAGATGTGCAGCAAAAAGCAGGGAAGGGACGGGGTACACCAGTGGGGAGGTTTGTCTGCGGTTATTTTGCGTGCTGTGCCGTCGTTTTTCGCCGAGTTCAGGCGCAGCTTCGGCACTTGCAGCTGGGCCTTCGACAGCGTTGCCGGGCGCTCCTGCGCGCCTGTCAGGAGCAGATGCAACAAATGACCAAGCGAAGACCACAGCGAAGACCACCCAAGACAGTCTCTCGTTCTTTTTTCTGCCCATGCAGGAAAACCTTTCTGATTTGGCAACCTGGACAACTCCGCAGGCTCGTTGCTGTCAGCTGCATTTGTGAGTTGCATGTAGTCCGGTGCGATCGCTCTTCAACCGAGTTCTCTCGCCCCTTGACCTGCCCCAGGCAGGCATGTTCTTGTGGCTAAAGATGACTCGGCCGACGGCTTTCTCTACCGAGATGTTAATAGACAGTACGGGGCCCAAGCTGGTTTTAACATGAAGGATCCCTGGTGGCTTCGCAGGCGTGATGAAGGTAGCAGATGGTACCAACATTCCCTTTCAGTCTCCCAGGTATGAGGCGCCATGGCGTCGTGGCCATGCCTGGCTCCTTCTGTTCTCCCAGCGCGCAAAAGGAAGGCGGGCCCCGGCTAAACTGCTATGTCCTGAACAGAGAGCAGTAGCCACTCTCCGGGCTGCCCACCCCTCCCCCTCCCTCCACTGTCTTATGGATTGTGCATGTTTGTCCAATGCCGTGATGTCGTCCTGTCCTGTGCTGCTTCTTCTCGAGCACCAACCTTAATGATGGGCTAAGCCCCGGCTGACAACATGTCTGCCACGCATGATTCTCGTGATTCACAAAGCGCCGGGGCAGAGGAGGCCCCTTTGATAGATCAGATCGACTTTGACCTTACTCCTGAATCTACGGGCTGTATACGGCGTCCTGTTCAAAACTTGTTTCTCCATCGGACAAATCCGCGGTTTGCCATCAATGCAGAGCTAGCCTTCCGAGGGGCATTCTTCCTGCTGATCGCTGGAATCCCTGTGATTGTGCCAAGCGGGAAATGGGATCTGGTGGATGATATGATCAAGTATGGCATCTATGACAGCAGTGTCTGCTGCTTCATTGTTTTCAACCTGGGCCGCACATTTGGACAGGCCCTAAACAAGGTCAACTCGGGTTTTCGAGGGACCTTCACGGCAGCTGTCATGGGCTGGGGACTCTACACAGTCTGGCCTGACGGGTACACGCAAGAGTCTGGCGACCTGGACTTTTGGCTCATAGTGGCCATAGGCATCATCTATGTTTGCCTGGTCATGATCCTGAAGCTCGATTTGTCATTCCAGATGTTTGCAATTTCCAACTTTGCCGGGATATGGATGGGCATCCTAAACCCAGACTTACGCGCCGAGATCACACCGCCGTGGGCAGGGAACTGGTCTTTGAAGACGGACATCTTGCTGCAGCAGTTGATTCGGACCTTTTGGGGCTTCATGACTGTGACCATTGCACTGTTGCTTCCGTATCCGCTTTGGTCCCTGGTTCGTGTGCAAGAGAACCAGCTTGTTCTGAACACTCGGCTGACGCAGATACTGCGAATGATGGTGAAGTTATATTGCCAGGCTTCGCCGAAGCAGTACGAAAAAGCAGAAGTGCTGAAACTGCTGCAAGGCATGAAGTTCTCTTCCAGTGAGAACGATCCTCTGATTGCAGAGGCATGGTGGGAGTGCTTCGGCTTTGGGAGGACACAGCTGAAGCGGCAGGTGCTCTTTTCCATGAGCGAGACGACCCGGAAAATTTACTTTCTGGCCTTCAATGCTTGGACTGTGTCCTCCGAACAGGTGAGAAGTGGCAAGGACGCTGAGTTGATGCGGCTGGTGAAGGATCAGACAGAGAGCGTGCTTGATGAAATGGAAAAAATGCTAAACTTGTTGGTGAAGGCTGCTGAAGATGGCAAGTTCGATCCCAACGAGGCTTTTGCAGTAAAAGCCTGCAAGCGGAATTTGGAGCGGCTGGAGAGAGAGCTTGCAGCTCACTTCCACGCCAAGAGGCTCGAAGTGGCCCAGAAGGCACCGAAACTTCCCGGGGGAGTGTCGGAATCCCTGTACAAGGAAGTGCGCATTTCCCAGGTCTTGGAATGGAGTATCAGTCGAATTGTGGGGGAGGTGATCCAACTTTCTGATGGTGTTTGCAAGTTCTCGACCGGTGAAGCTTCGCTTCCACCGCCTCCAGATGGTGCAGGCTTCCTGGGGTGCTTCCAGGGTGTGGGCGAGAAGGAGCACCTCCTGTATGCTTGGCGGGGTATTAGCTCCTACCTCCTCAGCTTCATGCTGGGCTACTTCGGCTTCAAGGAGATTGTTCCCCCGTATTCCTCAGGAATCGCTGGCACAGCCCCTCTGCTGTTCTCCATGTATGTGGGCTCTGCCTTGGTGAATGACTTGAACCGAATACAAGGTCTGATGATTGGGAATGTTATCTCACGAATTCTGAGAGGCTTGATTGACGATTGTGATCCTACGGATTTGGCCTTGCATGCCTTCATTACATTCACGTGGGTTTGGACCGGCCTCTTCGTTTGTTATCACTCACGCTCTTACTCTACGATCGGTGTCCTAGCTGCTGCTTTCGGGGCAAGTGCCCTACTCGCGAACAGCTGCAATCATCTGACAGACAATGTGGGAAAGCGTGCAACCTTCGATTCTTTGGCGATGAATTGCATTGCCGTCATGATCACCATGTGTGTAGACTTTCTGTTCCAAGCAGACCGTGCATCTGACCAGGCATACAAAATCTTGGACCAGTGCTGGCAGCAGATTCATCTGTCGCTGGCGGGTATATTCAATCCAGATGTTAAAGTTGTGAAGTTCGAGTCGGCGAGAGCCAAAGAGCTTCTCGCGCAAGCCATACATATGGGCGAGGAAGCGAATCTAGAACCTCGCTTTTGGCGTACAATCTGGCACCAGGAGCTGTTTACAGGAGTCTGCCGGGCTACAGATGCCCTGATCGTTGCAACTGCTGCTTTGGAGTCCGCTGTTGCGGAGCATGGGAGCGACGAGGATGCCAAATTTGCAACCTTTCTTGAGCTTTCGCAACTCAGCCCTCCCAACGCCAGGGTAGGACTCTTTGGCAGCCCGCAGAACGTAGATCTTCTGCGGAACTTTGTGGCGGTCCAGAACTTGTTGAACATCTTTGTGCAAGAGACGGCTCAGACGTTTGATGGAACAGTGCACGATCATCACGATGATGGAAACGACAACAATGCAGTCGTGAAGACTGAAGCTGATGTGGAGACCCAATTCATTAAGCAAACGGTCCCCAAGTTTTTTGGTCTGGCAAATGATAAGCCAAGGGATAAGATGTCCCATGATAAGATGGCAAATTTGTCGGTTGTCTTCGCAGGACGTGCACGAATTAAGGATGTCCTCCGAAAAATTCAGCACGTGATCTTGGCAAGTCACTGGGAGTACTGAGTCCACATATGTGGAAGCCCGAACTGCGGTATCTGTCACAGCGAAAAGCACACGCACATGCAATGGTGCTTTCCAGCCGCAGTGTAGGAACTGCTAGACCGGCTGTTCGGCGTCAACTGACTGCAGCTTTGATGGAGGTCACACGGTTCCCTTCGTCCGCCTCTCATTCGTCACGCCGGAAGACAGCTACCTCGAAGGTGTGCAGCGGTTGAGACAGGTGCCTTCGGGAAGAAACGGGCAAGCTTCTTTGTTGTGGTTTGAAGCAGACTGTAAGCTCTGCTTCATGCGTGTGTGTACCATGCCCGGACTGTCATGCCAGTCTGGTCCTCTTATGCTGCCGGTCGAAGTAAAGGATCTACCGCAACAACCAAGCCAGTAGAGTGGCCCCCTTCCTTGATGGCATCAGTGTGTGAGGTTCTCAGCGAGCTCAGCACCCCATTGCCCAGCAACAAAGAAGTCGCTTGGCAAACAGGATCAAGCCATCAAGATGACACTCAGACTCGAACTTTGCCAAGGCATATCCCACTTGACTTCTTCAGCTTCTAGAGCCGCCGACATGTGCCAGAACGCAGAACGAGCAAAGCGTCGTGCTTCTTGTAGAAGGGCAAGAGGATCCTGACCCATGACAAGCTCACCCGATCATGGCACGAGTCAGCTCAGCCTTGGTTGGCGCAAACAAAGTTCGAAGTGCTGTGAGTTGCCGTGCTTTTCGGTCAACACGGGCTTTGACATGGAATGCTTTTCTTTAAGACGGCTTCCCGCTGCGTGTCCAGATAGCACTGCAACCATCAAGGCAAAAGCCCATGGTTGGGCACGAGATGTCCCAAGAGGCGCCTTGCACAGGAATAGCGCATCTTCTTATTTCTCAGTTATTCTATAGGCTCTGCACAGAACGCACAGCATGCAGTGCCGTACCTTTGCCCGCTATCGCACCGTCGCGCCGCTTCCAGGCCTGGGATGAAAGCCAGATGCTGACCATGCAGGCTAATCCATGCTGAGCCTTTGAGAGCATGTTTCTCCATCTGTCTCATTTTTCTTTGAGCTTGCTTCGCTCTCTGGCTCCTGGCTCCCTTGTGTGCTCTCTTGCACTGTGATTCATCTTTCGGCTTTGTCCTGGGTTATGGGAGTTGTGCGTGACTTCTTCTGTCCAGGTCGTCGCCGGTGTGCAAGGACTTCTAGAAAGGCGCCGGCTTGGCCACAGCTGAGAGATCCCAAATGCTTTCGGGACCTGGTGCACTGGTGCACACTATGACTGGCAGTGAAAGCTGTTGGTTCAAAAGGGTTCCAATCCATCTTCTGCATGACATGCACGTCCTACCAGCACTGTCAGTGCGCCGCTAGACACCTTCAGCATCCACCTTAAAAACCGAGCCCTTCTCAAACATACTTCTCAGACTTGGCCAGCTGAAGCCAATGCCTGGACGAGATGAACCGGTGCTTCATCCAGCAACACTTTCGCGAGGAGCACTGCGAGGCACTGCTCGAAAGAAAGAAAGCTTTGGTCTTTTTGGCGCATTCTGTGTTGGCTCGAGTCGACTTTGCTCGTTTTGCAATGGCTCTCTTCGTGGACCTGCAAGTAGTTGTTTCAGCGGATAGGCAAGAGGACGTCCTTGCGAACTGTACTTCCGGAGGAGAGAGCAATCGACTGATCTTCCTCTTTGCTCGGTACATCCTTGCCCACACTCTTGTTGCCAGGAGTTATGTTAAGAAGTCAGCTTTCCACTCGATGAAAGCAAACCCTTAAAAGGAGGGCAATCCGTGTACCTTTCGTTACCTCTCCAGGAGAAGCCAACCCTGACAAATCTTGGGGGGTAGGACACCTGAACAAACGCTGCTAGCCAGGATCCAATTCGCGGGCGGCACGTCTAACAACGACCCAACGAGACATGGCAGAGAATGTTTTTGCCTGGGAGCCGAATGGGGAAGGGCCGCCACTGGGAGGGGGAAACTTTGTGTTGACATACTCACATAGGGGGAAACCTCACCCCACGGTGGGCACTCACACCCGCTGTGTGACTCGGGCGTGTTGGTCAGGGTTACCGTCCCTGGCCCTCATGCGAAGAAGCAGAAAAAAAAGAACGCAGAGTCCGCGTCAGGCTGGCCACCTGCAGATTGACACTGTGCTCAGGCCCCCTTTGTGTCGCAAAGCGGCTTGCTGGCAAGAGCCACCTTCCGGAGCACCTACTGCAAGGTGATTCGCAATGCCTTCGCCATCTCGCCCTTGCTAAGGCAAGCAATTTCCTCAGCTTGGATACCGTCCATGGTGCTGTGCCGCAGCGGCGCGCGCTGCGCACAGAAGGCGGATGATGGAAACGGGGTCACCTGACGCAGCACCGGAGTTTGCAGCCAATAGGAGCAGCGTCTGATCAGGGTTCAGCGGATGGTTCCCGAACCCGGATGAGAAGCGGGTCAATCCTCCCGAGGCCAATCTTTTGTAGCGTCCACGCACCACGGAAGGTTTGCCATGAACTGACCGCGAATCCGGGAGATAAGGGTTGTTTTTGTTCTGGGCTTTTACAGCGTGACATTTCGGATCCATGGCCGTGTTGTCACATGCAAGGGGCAGGAGGCCATGGCCATCCAGGAGGCAGAGCAGGAGGAGGCTGCATCAAGGGGCATCGAATTGATTCGCAATATTTCGCAAGGATTTTCCCAACTTCTATTCCGGCAAAAGCTGGGTCCAAAACTGGGTCTGCTTGCAAAGACTCCACGAGGAGCATGAAGAAGACCCTCTTTCCGAAGCTCCTTGGCAGTATCAAGGCACGGCAAGAGCTTGGCACTTCCAGGTTGGCAGTTAGCATTTCACCCGATGCGGCAACTTAGTGTTGTGGCGCTGCGGAAAGCTCTTATTAGTGGCAATCTTTGTACTCTTGCACAAAGTTGATGAAGTATGGAAATTCATCTTGCCAACCGGCACGCACGCGAAACTGCACGGGACGCTGGAGTTCGTTCGCGGAAGCATGTCTCGTGGAATCGATGTGTCTGGATATGTTACTTCTATTGCAACTAACACAACGACACTACGGTTTGAATCTTTCGAGTTGTGTCCGGTAGCGAATATCTGATATGGGTTTCTGCTTGTTATTCAGTAGCCGCGAAAGGCCCCGAAAGCGCGGCGAAAGGGGCTGCAAAAGGTATAACATCATGCCTGAAACCGTTCGCGGTGTTTTTCTGCAGTGGCGGCCCAAAAACCACTCGCGGTGCTTCCTGAGACTCATCATGGCTCTAGACTCTAGACCTTGCCTTTGCACATGTCCAGTGCGTTTTTGAGGGCGGCTGATCCGGGGCAAAGTGCCTTTTGAGCCTGACAGGTTGTGGATGGCTCATGGGCAAAGTGCGGCTTGGAGGGCCGGCAACGCACACTCATCCTTGGTGGTGGTTGTGCTGGGGGGGGAGGGGTCCGCGCAAGGAACGAGATTGGGCGACAGGTCCTGTGCTTCCCACTTCCATTGTCTTTACAGCCTAATAAGAACAGGTATGGAGCCCTGAATCCTAGACCTGCTTTTTTCAGGCGAAGAAAGATCAGGGTCCAACTTCTTTTTGGTGGACTTGTGCAACGTAGATTCATTTCCCAAGCCTAACACTCGCTTGTTGGGGTGCATAGGCGCTGGCATGGATGGCGAACCAGGGCAAAGTGCGTTTTGGAGTGCCTGAAAAACGCCCGCTGAGGGGTGCAAAAAGTGCTGGTAGGGGTCCAGAGCGCTGCTGGCATGGATGGCTATTCAGAGGTAGTGTGCGTTTTGGATGGCTTGCTGGTTGGGTGCGCAAAACCAGCAACTGGCTCGGACGGCTGATCATGAAACAAGCACATTGATTCCCCTTGCTGGGATCAGAGGGCAACGTGCATTTTGGGGGCTTGCTTGTACGTGGTTAAGTCGACCATAGCGTCGACGCAAAAGTAGCTCAGAAGCAAGGGAGGGGAACGGGCGTTTTGGGGGGCCAGAAGAACGCACACAGATTCCCTGCTGCTTGTACTTGGCTATGTCGAGCATGTCATCGACGAAAGCTATATGACGATTTTATGTCTTCGCGAAAGGGCGTGAAAGGGCCGCGAAACGCGCAGCGCTTGGTGGGGGCTTTTGAGAGAAGGGACCATCGGACAACGCCCAAATCAAGGCATGTCCTTGGAGTTTGGATCATTTTTGGGCTTTTGCGCAGAATCCTCCACCTATTTGTTTGCTGCATGCGACTATGAATCCCCAGGCTTCAGCTCTGGACTCTACAATCCCTAGCCACAAAGAGTTGCGGTTTTGTTGGGCCCGCTTTGGGCCGCCGATGTGTGTGTTCCCGGCTTGCAGAAGCAAGTTGCTCCATTGGTCATGAAATATACGAGCAATGTGCTTCATAAGGCTACAAACAGAATACTTGTATGGAACATTCCACGAAAGGTTCAATCATGTCAACAAATCAATATGTCAAGTGCCTTTTTTCGACATGTATAGCTTACGCCCTGAGGCTTTGCAAAATGCTGGTGATGCAGTCAGTGCAGATGCCGAGAAGTCGCTGGAAAAGATAAAGGCGTGGTCATGATTGCTTAACGTGGGAAGCATTGCTGAGAAGAGCGGCTTCTCAGGCCGATGCCGCAAACTCGTTGGAGGCAAGCAAGGACGATGGTGCTGGGAAAGCAGCCGTTGAAGCTGCCAAGGACCAGAAGGGCACATGCAGCAGTGCACACAAGCAGGCCAATAAGCCTGCACTCAAGATGCCGCATCGCAGTTTCCATTGCAGGAGCAAGAGGACACGGGTGATCCCCCAGATGTGGATGACGAGCTGCCCGGTCCCTTCTATACGCGAGCTTGGTTCTTGGGATTGGTGCTGATGGCCTTTGTCGGAGTAACCTCCTACACGGCTGCTTGCCTGCAAGAAGCTGAACACATTGGATACCTGCTACGCACTCTCTCGCTCTCTCTCGTGCGCCTTCCTCCCATACTGCCGACACGAGGTTTGGCAGGTCAGCCGGCTCGCCTCAGACCCAAAAGGCTCTGAGGAGGACGAGGTTGAAAGGACATATGTCTAGGTCTCAGTCAAACTGAACACACACACACACACACTTTCAATACCTCTCTGCCGGAGCTGTCCTTGTCATTCTCCTCCTTTTTTCAGGCACATGATCCCAGAGCACCAGTACCTACCGATGGCAAAGGTGCAAAGGGCAAGGGAACGGGTGCTCAGGCGGGCTTCCGAAACAATTTGAAAATTTTTTCTGGTATACACCTGTTTTCATTGTGGCACTTGCAATGCAACAGGCCGCTACCGCCTGAAATGTTCGACACATCCTGGCGACCTGGCAAGGCACATTTCGTGCACAAGGCTATGATTCTGAGAATGCTCACAGCTGCCTTGTCTAAGGCACGAAGGATGCCGAAAGGGACAAACATCTTCGGAACTATCTGGACAGCGTGCCACATGATGATACTTGTACATTGCCCAGGAAGCTGAGGCCGTGAAGAGCGTGATTTTCAAATCGATTGGCCTGCTCCAAAGTGAGCACCGTTTGGTCTTGCCAATCTGTGGCCATCGTCTGGCGCAGACTGCTGCAGACAAGAAAAAGTCACTCTGCGGGATCTTCTCTGTATCAGCTGCAGCGCATCGATTCCCTTGAGAGGGTGGCTGTCATCGGCCTGCCTTCTGGAAAATGGTGGCAGGTTCCAGCTGCAGATCGTGCAGCAAATACAGCAGCTGGCGGTGCAGCAACAGCAACAGCAGGTGTGCAAAAATTGAGCTGCTGTTCGCTGAGTTCCTCCTACACATCATGTTCACTTCGAGCATGTGCCGTGGTCTAATTCTTGCTGCGTGTATCCATTCCGACAGGCAATGCACCAGTGGCTGTTGCAGCAGGCAGGTAGCTGGACAGCTGGACCGGCTATCACTGCGCTAGCACAAGCAGGGTTATCGCACTTTCCCATGTTTTGTGAAGCTTTCTTTGGTTGTTGGCTTGGCCTCTGGAAAGAGAGGAACATTGAAGGAATTCAGGCAAGGAACAATTAAACGAGGAAAGAACGAAACAACCCTAAAAAGAGAGAAACAATCCTGAACCCTAAGCCCTAATTTTCTTCCCAAATCTAAAACTCAACGCCCCAACCATAAACCCTACACCCCCAAAAAACCCTACACCCTGAGCCTGAAGCCCTGGACCCTGAACCCTGAGCCCCAAACCCAGCAAATCAAACATAATGTGGAAGAACCAAAAGGAAACAGATCTGGCTCCGCTCCCTTCTGTACAAGAGGGTGTGTAGTTATCAGTTATTGTCTGCGAACTGTAGGGTTGGAAGCTGGTGCACTGTACACTCCATGCACACATGCAGCGTAGCAGAGTTCGCTGAATCTCCTCGATCGGATAAATGGGATAGGGACTTCCGCTCAGGTTTTAGCGCAGCAGCAGGAGCAGAAAGTTGGGGACTCGGAATCGGACCCACTGGCCTGCCGAAGGGTTCTTAAGGCAGCCTTGGTGAGCGTTCGGAGCTTCCAAAGACTGAGGCCTTGCTTCAGCAACGTGCTGTGCCAGCTTCCCCCACGGAAGGCGCTGCAAACAATCCCAGCTTGCAAGTTTCAGCGGCTTTTCAGCCAAGGCATTGCAAGAATCTAAGCATGTACTTGACATAAAAGCAATTCTTTTTGTCTTCTCTCTTTCTCTCTCTTTATCTTTTTATCTCTTTCTCTCTTTCTCTCTTTCTCTCTTTCTCTCTTGTGAAGCTGCCTTTCAGGCGAAAGCATTGAAAGCATGCCAGCTACTAAAGGGCCGCTCGGCAGTGCATTTGACTCACACCCTGGAGAATCCAAGTCCAAGTTTGCATGTGTGATCATGTGTGATCATGTGCGCGTGCGTGTGTGCGTGGGTGTGTGTGTGTGTGTGTGTGGGTCTGTGTGTGGGTGCCTTTTGTCCGTTGCGATGCCAGTGATGCCAGGTCCAAGACGCTGAGCACCGCGCCCTGCACGCCGTGCGCGCAATGGCCGCAGGCCTGAGAGCTGCGGTGGAGCTGCGCAGTCCGAATGGGCGGTCCATGGCAGGTGCAAATTCCCCCGCCCAGTGGCCGGCATCCTGCAGTGCAGCAAAACAACTTGCTGCAGTTGCCTCCCTTGTTCCCCGGCTCACAGTAAGACCCGTGGCCAACAGTCAATCGGAGTATTGCTTCAGCGTTCAGACGGCGATCACGAATGCTAGCTCCTTGGAGGGCCTGCGGGTGTTGTCGTTTACTAATCAATCAATCAATCAGTCAATCAATCAATCAATCAGTCAATCAATCAGTCAATCAATGTCTCTCTCCCTCCCTCCCTCTCTGTCTTTGAGATCGATGGGTTTTAAGTGGTATGAGGGGGTGGCGGTGGGAGGGCCTCGCCTTCCGCATTCATTGGTTCCACCAATCTTAGGACCACCCCCGCCCAACCCAAAAGGCCTTGTTGTTTGTTGGAACGCAGCCAAGCAGCTTGCTGGTTGGAGCACGCAAGCAGCATATAGAGTTCAGCAGGCACATGCGCGCACTTGCAAAACAGATCGGTAGAACTCCGGTGATATACCCAGGCTGCACAGCCTACCCATCCGGACTTCTGGGAATCGAACGCCAGAACCTTAGGGCTTAGGCGGCGTGTTGGATTGAGCTCACTTGTCTTCCTAATATTTGAGCGGAAGACAAAGGTCTCCGGTGAAGACCCAGGCTGGCAGAAGAAGCTCCCAATTCGACCCTTAACCTTAACTTCTTGACTCATCTCTAATTTTGGTTCAGGAGAAGGGCCGCCCGCCCATGGAGCCGCCGAGCGAGGAAGCCGAGGACGAGGAGTGACAGGGCATTTTTTTTCTTTTGATCTTGGCCTTTTGGCCTTGGAGATCCTTGGGACTCACGAGGCTCACCTACTCAAAGATACGACTCTTGCAGCAAACAGACCATGCTGATTTGTTCACACGAAGCTGTATGTCGTTGGACACGGTTGTGCTGCCTTGAAAAGTGGCTGAAGATGCTTCAGGCAGCTTCAGAGGAGAAGCGCGAGGAAGCAGAAAGGCGCTGTCCTTTTGTTTGAGAACTTGCCGTAATTTGCCGAAACTTGCTGGCACATGTTGACTGGCAGAAGTCTAAGTGTGCCTGCAGTGGTCCTCGTGAATTTGTTTCAGGTCCGAGACCACCGTGGCGCCAGAAGCATGTCCTGAGGTTCAGGCAGGGCTTTCTTCGGGGGGTGAGCAAGCAATGGGCCGGCCACATTGATGTTGTAGAGTATTGTAGAGCTCGTTGGAAGCACACGTGCAACCTGTAAGGCTGAAGCCAGTGATGCTTCGCCCGAGGCTAAGGCGGATCTGGAGCCTCAAAGCACTCCGACGCAGGAGGAGACCGTGTGCGATTCGTCCCATGCACTTTGCGCACTTGCAGCACATCCACGTCGAGACAAATCTTTTGAGATATATAGAGATGCATCAGGAGTCCAAGGTGCCGGAACATCAAGAAAGCAGCACAAAGAATGCTGAGGAAAAGAGCTCCGCGGCCACTATCGCGGAGGTGGGCTTTCTGATCAGTTTGCCTGTATGTTCAGCCTGTCCGACGTGCTTGCGCTGCAAGGCGGAATGCGTGACAGAGGCGCCTAAGGAGGGGAAGAAGGAGTGTGAAACACATGACCCGCTTGAAGCGCCGACGGGGCCAGGCAGGCCTAGGCACGCGGGCGAAGAACCACACACCTCTTACAACTCTTACAAACACAAACAGGTAAGACGGCGGCCCCAGCGGTCTGCATGCGCAGAGACCGCACAGTGGCAACCAGTCCGAAGGGGCAAAGCTGGGCCAAGACATAGCGAGCCTTGTGAGCCCGAGGAGTCCCCAGAGCCAGAGCAGAAAGAGCAGAAGGGATGGCAGCAAGCCCAGCCAGCGCAGCCAGCGCAGCCAGCGCGGCAAGCGCAGCCAGCGCAGCAGGAGCAGCCGGAGCAGCAGGCGCAGCAAGCGCAGAGCTGGAAGCGCCCAGGCAAGATGAGCATGAGGAGCAGTGGTGCTAAAAGCAAGAACGGCAGCAGCACAGCGCCCAGTACTGGATTAAGATGGAGGCCTACTGTGCCTCACTCGGACAGATGAGCGCATGGCGCATGGAATTTCTGTGTTCGTTCTGAGTTTTCCCGGCCGAGCCGAGCACGGCTCGGGAAATGAGCTGGCATGTGTAATGTGTACAATACCGCCCTTTACTCCAAAGGATCATGTTTCAGTTCCTTGCAAGGATGCATCTTTAAGATGCCATGAGGAGGCTTGAAGCCGTCAAGGGGCACTCAAAGCAGAAAGTTCTGACGACAGTCAGACTCCGGATCGCGACTTTTACAATCCTTGTGCAGGTGTGTCATGTGTGTCATGTGTGTCGCTCCACGCCTCTCTCAGATGATTGACGACACCCAGCAGGAGTGCTGCTTGCTCCTGGTGGTTGACCGAGTCAAAAGGGATCGGACAGAGAGAGGTCAAGAGAATTCTCTCGGCCCCTCATTTTCGCCCTCGTCATGACGAGATTATGTTCAGATGCTTCCACAAGTTCGCCTGGGCGCTGACATTGGTCCAATGTCGCGCTTGCCGGCCGACGGAGTGGCTCAGCCCCCTGCCAGCTCAGAGAGCACAGTGAGCTCGCATTGGAACTGAAATTCAGAATCTAAGGGCATGGGTTTAAAAATGGGCGAAATGGTAGTTGCAACTGGTTGAAACATGTTCCAATGGAGTTACAAGAGCAGGCGATTGGACAGCCAGGGCTGAGGGCCCTGCCAATGCAAGAGGAGACCCTGCGCGCTTTCAGAGGGTGAGCAGGAAATACTCTGATTCTCATGTAGGTCCCCAGCGAAACAGACAAACGGGGTGGTTGATGAACAAACACTGGATCAAGCTATGCTCAGTAGCTCTCGCCGCTCGCCGCAGCCTTTGTGGCCGCGTCATGCCTTTTACTGGAGTTACTGGACAGACACTCTGCATGGCATCCTTTCTGCATCAGGGCCTTAGCAAAGGTCGACAACTCCAATCATCTCATCGTGAAGGCACACAACACTAGGCCACTAGGCATTACGGCCCTACAGCCCTACAGCCCTACATCGCCCTACCACCCTACGGCAACAGGTGGAGTCGGTCAGGCATGGCTCGCCCAGCATTGCCGCGACGGTAAGCAGCGCTGCTTTCGCGAGATGGCTTGACGGTGTACGGTGAAGGCGAGAGGACCTCATCTCTGCGACTCTGGGCCGTTGACGCTTGTCCTCAGGCGTGCCAAGATGCGAGTTACCTCCGCGGTCCACAGCTGTGTGCGGTGCTTTGCCAGACCTGATGTGTATGTGTATGTGAATATACGTGCATGAAGTGAGTCGCTTCTGTAGTCGGAAAATCTAAGCATGGACGACCATCTTTGCTCTAACTTGATCTTTGACAGTTTGCGGCTTAATTTTAACGCTACGCGACCCGCCTCGGCCCGGCCCAGCGCATCCGCGTGAGCATGGTGATTCCGCAGCGCCCAAGTTGCTGGGCCCGAAGCAATAAGGGTTGGGTTTAGGGTTTAGGGTTTAGGGTTCCGGGTTTATGGTTTATGGTTTGGGGTTTAGGGTTGAGGGTTAGTTTAGGATTGAGGGCTTAGGGCTCAAGGTTCACGCTTTGGGGTTTAGGGTTTTTTGGGTGTGGGGTTCAAGAATCGTAGGGTGGAGCCAGCCCATCAGGGGTAGGGGGGGTGGGGGGGGAAGGGGGGGCAGGGGGAGGGTGGGAGGGGGGGTTTGTTGAAGGTTTGAGGGTTGAGTGCTTCGGTTAAGGTTTAGGGTTTCGGTTCAAGCTTAGATTCTTCGGCTCGTGTAATGCATCCCAGGCCGAGGCTCAGGGTGGGGGAGGGGGAGAGGGGGGGAGGGGGGGGGGGGGGGGGGGGGGGGGGGGGGGGGGGGGGGGGGGGGGGGGGGGGGGGGGGAAAAAGGGGGGGCCCCTGCTGGGAAGGGCTGCAACTGCCTCTGGTCCTGGCGAACCATCCGCTGGCGGCCCCTGCTCTCCTAGGGGGGGTACCCATTTTTGGCAAAAAAAGGGGTCCGAAAAGTGGCTTTGGGCCTGGCGGGAGGATCTGTTACACACCTTCGGCCCGAGGCCTCGGCGGATTTGTGAACAGCAACGAAGGAAACGCTACCCTTGTTGGCCCTTAGGTACAATCTGGTTCCCCTCGGCCCCCTCATCTTCCCTCGTCCTCCGCTTCCTGATCCTTGTCCTGTTCCTGTTTCGTCTTCCTGTGTTTGCTCTCATTGCCTGTGGCCGCTAAGACCACCACTAGTACACACGCTGTGGCTAGCACAGCAAGAGACAGTTGTTATTTCTCTGCTTATGAGTATCTGTACTACAACATGTTACAACGTTAGCATGCCCTCTCGGTGCTCGCCGCATGTCCCGACGCTGGGGCGTGGGGCGTCCTCGAAATTGTGGGCGCAGCGAAGATGGGATGATGTCTCAGATGAACAGTGTTGTCGTATCGTCTTCTAGACTTTTCGTCTTGCTGAAACTTAAAGCCCTCACGAGGTCGGAATTCATCGCGGCTCGAAACACTTTCGGGATAACCATTCTCTAGTTTCATAGCGAGGTAAGGTGAGGCATAGAGCTGTTCAGCACCTGTCTTGTGCCAGGGCGAATAGTGAATGCAATGTGCTTGCTTTTCTGTAGCCAGCCGGTCATTTCCAAGAAGATACAAAAAGGGTTTCAATACCCATTCGGCGTTCAAGCACGAAAGACGCAAAACACACGAAACCGCTTGTCTGGCTCGACCTGCCGCATCACATGATTAAGGCCTTGACTGCTCGAGTTCTTCGAGCCAGGGCTTTGACAAGGCCTGGCAGCATATGCCTCAATATGTTGCAGTATTGAAGCTTGTGCCGCTTCTTTCAAAGCTTCACAGATATTGCAACCCTCGTTGTTCTCAAAGAGGAGCACGTTTTTTTTTTTGCAAGTGCGATATCTTGTGAGACGTCTCGTCCGCCAGGTTCAGCCAGCACTTCCTTCCTTTGCGAGGTCTCCGACTTCTTCGCGGTGTGATGCCATGGTGCAACACTGGTATGCTGGTGCTGCAAGTATGTGCAACCAAGCCCCTGCAGGACTCAGATTCGCTCGGAGCGCGAGGTCTGGAAGGTGCCGTAGGGGATCGCCGTAGGGGGAGTTTTTCCGGTGAGCGGTACAGCTGTTGCACGCAGTCCTGAGAACAGCATGTGGCAGCATGTGGCAGCATGTTGCAGCATGTCAAGAAAGCTAGAGCTCTAACGGTCGTTCTGATTTACAAGTTGCTTCCCAGACATGATATTATGGTAAATATTGGTAAATGGATGCAAATGGTTGTGAACGCCAGAAATCAAGGCCAAACAACATGCAGTTCAGATTTACACTCGGCGAAAAAACGCAGAATCTTGTTGATGCGATTGGCCCCTGAGGCCCCGATGGATCGGGAGTTTAAACGTGATACCAGAGGGGGCGGTGTCCGCCCCCGCTGCGGTCCGATATGTCGAGCAGACCTACACCCCAAAGCACTACCAACCGAAACTACCGCTGTTGCGTGCGGTTCTGAAATCCTGCACAGAAAATTTAAGTACCAACTAGCGCTTTCCGGTGAACCTGAAGGTTCAGGGTTTGAGGTTTTGGAATGTTTAGGGTTCAGCAGAATCACCCCTCAACCCCAAACCTCGAGCGCCACCTCGCATGTGCCGGGTCGCTTGCGTGGAGCCCCTCTCAGGGTTGATATCTGCAGAATCCTGGCTCCACGCCACGCTGCAATAGCAACAATACCCTACACCGCCATGCGACGCGCCGGAGCGGCCAGGGCCGTCCACTGGGCCCTCCTGGTCGTCCTGGCTGCCCTGAGCACGGCCCTGGGGGGCTGCGGTGGCTGCCGGCACGCAGCACTTCAGCGGCGTTAGCCTACGATCAAAGCCTAATTCAATCCTTCATATCATCTCATATCATTTCAAGTACTCTCAAAGGTCTTGAGATGTTTTTTTGGTACTTTCGAAGGATGCCGCAAACTGCGCCCTTGGCAATGAGGACGACTGTGCAGATCTCGGCAAGTTTGGAGGACACCTGGTGCAACGCATTCGCCGGGCGTGCAACGGGCGTTGACAAACAAAATCTCACGTGAGGGATGATCAAAAACCCCCTGTATGAAGAAGAGAGAAGTGCCCCAGATGACCAGATGTGCGTTTTGCTCGATGAAACGATACGAGTAACAAAGAACGACAACGTTCAGATTCGTATCCATGCTCGATAAAACGAGAAGAGTAAGAAATACTTCAGGGACATCTTTCGGGATAGGGGGTTTTCACGCTTCCTCACGTGGCAAGCATCGGTAAACATGTATGTAAGTATGTGATTTTTCAAATCTTCCCAGTGGACTTCTCCAAGCGGCAGGATGTATCAAGGAGGCAAACTGCTGCGAGTCTTCCGACGCATCTTCCGAGATATCCTCGCTTACCAGCTGGAGGAGCTTGAGTCGAGTTGTAGGGAGGTGTTGGGGACAGCATATTGTTGACAGCCCCAAGGTTTCATGCTCTCGTCGTAGGGTTGTAGGTCGGTTGTCGTCGCACGTTAGCAGTGAGTTCCTGCAAGAAGTTTTCGCACAGGAAGCGCCTGAATGAGCTCTATGCATCAGCAGAGCTGGCCGGGCTTGCTTGCGAGCCAAGTCCCTGCGTCAGCTAGCCACAAGATGGCAGGTGATGGCATAATTTCGGCCTGGCACGGCCTGGTCTCCTCAGCTCTACTATTTTCGCCCTCGTGCACGTTCTCCCCTCGGTCCACCACGGACATACCAGGACAGTCGATGGGGCGAAGGTGAGAGGTGGAGTGTGAACTGCACGAAAGCGTGGGAAAGCTGCGAACAACTGCGAAGATCTGCGAAGAAACAGCGAAGCTTGGATACTTTCCGTCCGTACGGTGCCTGTGGACCCCACAAGGCGCCACAAAGGCTCGTTTCACAATGTTTCACTGCTGCTTGCTGCATGCAGCACATTGCAGTACCATGGCAGGAATCGTCCGCCTCTGCAGGAAGTAAGAGAAAAAGTCCAGCTTGAAGAAAACATCACGTTGTCAGGGCATGTCAAGGCTTGTCACAGGCGTGTAGCGGCGTGTCAAGTACTTTGCCAGGTCCGGGACAGCAGACCCTGCCGAGGCCGCCAAGAACTCTGGCCTTGGACGTTTGGCCGCGCCGCGTTCGGATGGACTGGGGACCGAGCGGCCCTCTGCGCCTCATCTGCCCGAAGACCGGGCGGCGGAAGACGCAGACTTTGTGGACGAAGGGCCTGGCGAGGTGCTGGCGGTGGATTTGCTGGCTACTGCGGCGTCGAAGCTGCATAAGCACGCTGTGGAAGGCTTTGACGAGCCGCTGCCGCTGGAGGCACTGGACACCCAGGACTTGGGCAGAGGTTGCCAAAAGCAGATCCCCCAAAACCATGCATCTCGACCTTGTTAAGATTGCAGCGGACCTGGTTTGCCAGGACTCCTTGGAGGAGCACCCGCTCCCCCACGTCGCTGGGGGCCACAGCCGTCCGCTGAAGCCGCCTTACGAGCACATCCCACGTGCTCCGCCAGGGCTCCTGCAACGACTGGCCGAAGTGGAAAAGCTGGAGGGCAAGTCCCAGGAAGGGCTGTTAGGAAGTTACGTTGAATTCTCATGTGCGAGCGCTGATCCCTCAACAACCTCCTTCCCACATCTTCCCACGTGATTCCCGCAACTCCCTGAGGGCCGCTCCAGAAGGCGGAGCAAACGGCAAGGGCAGTTTGAGTTCGACGAGGATGTGCCTATCCGAGTCCGGGTGTTGGATGTGGACGCACTGGACTTGGAAGAACTGCACAAGGCGTTCATGTACACGTTGGTGCGCCGGCGACCTGCAGAAATTTGTGTGCGAGTGGCCTCCCGACTTGCTGTCTTCCGGGATAAGCCGGGCCAGCAGTCTTACCAAAACCTTCTCCAGGATGCTGGGAGGCTGTTTGGCTCCTTGCATGGCCCAGAGCTGCTGGCCCTGTTCGCCCGATGAATCTTCGCAGCAGAAGGAAGGGCTTTTTAGGATGTGCAAAGGATGTGCAAACATATTGAGCCTTCTCAAGGTTTGCAGGTCAGAGAGTTTCCTGTGTCTTCTCCTTCTTGATGCGGCAAGATGACACAAAGGTTTTTCCACTATCTCCGTCCCCTTCATGATCGACTACACTCGGAAATATGGGCACTTCTCCCGCGCATTTCTCGCCGAGCAGGTCGAAAAGAGTCTGCGGCCGGGCTTCTTCGACTTCTTGCGCTACGACCGTCACGGCGGCGTGCGGCCTCTGCCATTGATCGTCGCGAAGCCCTGGCGCCCCGATACAGACTGATACAGACTCATACAGGGGCGAGGGTGATTGTTCAGAGGTCCAGTAGTCTTTTTGTCTTCGCTGGGCGCCTTAAGGAGCCTCGGGTCCTACACACGGCTGATGACGAAAAGCTACTTGAAAAGCCGCATGCATGAGCAGCTGAAGCTGCACGGACATGTCCCGAACATCGAGGAAGACACCGATCCCGCCGCTTCACGTGAGCGGTGAGTGTCGCTTCAGGACTTTACATGTTTTAGAACATTAACGCTCGCGCGCACCGCCTCGGCCTTCTCCGGTAGATATGGTCAAAGGGTGTCTTGTGACAACCAAACCTCCCAGTTGCCAGTTGTACAAGCCTTCAACTGACGAATGAAGACCGTCCCTGAAGTGTTTACTGCCCGGCTTCACAGCGGAAGGCGATTGGCATCGAGTTGCCAGGCAATCGCGTTCCTGGCGGGACACGATCCTAAACCTGAGGATGGCTGGACCGAGGCCGAGCGGTGCTGGCCTCCACGCCACACCCGTCAATGTTCTCGGCCAGCCTCGGTGGACTCAGCCTTTGCTGGCAGCCGCGCAGCCACGTAAGCCATCAATACTACTTTGGTTGGTGGGAAACTTCTAGAGTGTTTCGGCGGGTGGAGGCATGGGGCATTGGGTCCTGAAGCCGAGTCCTGCCCGGGAAATGAAGGAGGTGGGTTGTTTTTGTACCCCAACCCCTTAGGTCTGGTGCCTTGGCGGATCACATGACAGTATATTCTAGAATGGCTGCCGAGGACATGCCCGCTGAAGCCCGTGTCATCGAGCACCTCAGCCGTGCGGGGTCGCTTCGAGTGGAGCCGCCGAAGGCACCAGCAGCTGAGGCCGCAAAGGGGGGTAATCGAGTGCCGTGCAGTCAGCCTTGCGAATATCTTCTGATAACTTGCTGTCGCAGTACGATGCAGCAAACAAGTAGTGCATAGTTCTGCATCAAGCCGCTTGGCCGAGCATCACTGCGCACCAGGTCGAGCGGCCGGCGTTGCTGGATGCGATAGTCCAGGCGTTGGCTTTGTGTAGCATTTGCAGCACGACCATGTGGGCTGTTTGGTTTGTTGGAGTTTGTGCGCATGTTTTGCTCTTGTTGTTGTGATTGTAGTTGGGCAGCTGTCACGAATGGGCATGTGCTTGCTTCAAGGAAGTTGAGGGTGGGCCGGGAGCTGCATTGGCGGAACACTTTTTGTCTATACTGCTACACTCCTGAGAACGAGAAGTGATACTGTAGTGCCGGTATGCAGCAGTGCGTGTCAGTGTAGAAGGGTGCTTGCACATCCTGAACCTGGTTAGGAACCCTGCAGACACCCTACAAGTAAAAGCAAGAGTTACTCTAAGCCCTTACGAGTATCGTGCCAGAGTTGCCAGTGCTATGGGATGGCACTGCGGATGCTGCTGGGCAAAGGATGAGTGCCGAGGCGCTATCCCAGTGGCCATAGGCAGCCAATGTCTCAAGCCGGTGTTAAGCCTAGAGGCGGCCTCGTGTAAGCTTGCAGGTAAACGAGCTAACCAGAACGATCTTCACTGGACGCCCACTGCATGCAAATGAATGCGCCTTACATCCTCAACAGTTTGAAACATGTTCAGACACAGAGGTGAGAATGGCTGGCATAGTTGCATGACCGGTGCAGTGGTGTGGCTCTAGCTGTGCCAGGCAAGGGGGTGGGTCATTGTGCAGCCCCAGTGGGGTCTGTGCAATCGCCTACGTGCGGTGGCCTCTGGGCCAGCCAATCGCGCTTTCAAATACTACTGCAACTCTCCTTTATGCATCTTCGTACCGCTACTGAACCACGTTGCTCGCAATCTGTTTGTTCTGCCAGCTGGCCAGGCGAATGCTTGCCGAGCACCTCCAGCGCAGTTTTGCTGTGGACTGGCAGCCCCTGCCGGGCTGCAACTGCACGTGGAATCGCGGCGACCTCGGAGTACAGGCCCGTTTGGCTAGAGATTATAGATGTTGCCACGACTTCGCAAGGTCTGTTCTCCTCGGAGCCTGCGCGAATCTTGAATGAAGAGCTCGAGAAGGCAATGTTGAAGCAAGTTGAACTATTCCTGCAGGTGCTGTACATGCCTGATTCCAATCACATGTCGGGTTTGCATACCGCCATGTGCAGGACCCAGATCCGTCTTTAGTGGCTGCTGCTGAGTTGCTGCAGGCTTGGGACGAGGCTGGTGCGCAACATTCAACAAGCCTGTCCAGAACTGCCCCCATCGCGTCTTGCAGATGTTTCCTCATGACGTGCCCGCTACAACCACAGTTGGACAAGAACCGCAGGTCACGATGCTGGTCTCAATGGCCTGGCTTGGTGCCCGACTTGCAACGTTGTGATTTTGAATGGACTGCCTGAGCCAGGCACGCTGCAAGCCTGACAGCCACGAGCTCAGGCACGGCCTTAGCTATCTATGCCACCTTATGTGTTCCTAGAATCACAGAGAGAGGGTCGACGATCGCCAGCGATAACGGATGGCGGAACCGTTTTGTCTCAGAGCCCCTCCTTAAAACCCCGCCCCGAAAATTGAAATCGCATTCCGAGTTCGAAGATTGGCAGTACATGCTGAGCTGCTTGAGGGTCTGACTCAGTGAGCAGTGCAGTCAGGTAAGTTGCATCGTTTTGCATCTGTGTTGAACCGCTTCGCGCGACCTTGCCTGTCGCAGTTCCGGCTGGTCGTTTTGGGACTGCGGTGTGCAGAGCATAGCCATTTTGTTCAGACAGCTAGCTTTGCCAGCCAACTAAGCCTGGCCTCCAAATCCAGTCACCCCAGATTTCCGCACGCGAAATCCCGCGCTGTTGCGAAGGTCGAGACTTGGCTCTGTATCGTCACCGGTACGGGTTTCGAGAATCAGAAGCTCGGGTGATGTCGGGTCATTCAAAGAAGCAAAAGTTAGAACCGAGCTAGCCTTTCAGCGCATTGTTGTGCTTGCCAGCATGCCTTCGGTTCTGTCGGTCTTTGGTCAGGGTGGCGCTGCGAAGCTTTGAGGCCTTCCACAAAGAGTGTTTCGAAGCAGGAGAGCTTGGCATGTTTGGGTGTTGCGCTTGTTACTTGATTTCCACAAGGCCAAAAGATCCACGAGTGCCTTGAGAGGCTTGGCATACCTTGTGGACACCGCTGCAGAGAAATGGAGGTCGTCTTCGACTTAGCAGCCTGGCACAGCTCTGCTGGGCCACGGATGTGGTATCGCAGGCAGAACTCGGATTTGTTGACTGCTGAGGTGCAGGCCATTTCAGGGAAACTGTGACACGCTGCTACTCAGCTGGGAAGCACATTCTGCAGACCGTTGTTTGTCAAGCACCATGACCTGTTGTTTTTGTGTGTAGAATCTTCTATCAGGCCGAGATTTCTTCAGGTAGACGCTTGGCAGAATTATGAAGTATCGAACGGGGAGAGGCGCTGTTGGCGCATATTGAACCAGAACAGTGGTTGAATGAACTCAGGATTGCTTATGCATCAGAGCTTTCAATCCGTTTTATCCACCCAGGCCGGGGACAGTCTTGTTCGAGACACGCAGTTGTACTGAGTGAATCGTGGACCTGGTGCAGGGAGGAGGATCGACAAATGTATGCTTCAGAGCGAGCGTCCCACCTCAGAAGCTCAGCAGCAATGAGCAGAGAATGCCTTTAGGGAGGCTTTCCGGCATGGCTTCAGATCACTGGCAAAAGTCTGTAAGTGTATGTGTGTGTGCGCGCTGTGTGGAGATCACCTGGTCGCTGCCGCTCCTGTGTGTCAGCGGCTCTGGCAGCTCCCGGAAGGTTCGGAGAACTGCAGAACAGTCCGATAGACAAAACAAGTTCGTCGAGTTTCGTGGCAGAAGCGCGTGAGTGCGAGTGTGAGTGGCTCAGAAAAGGAGACAGATTTTCGGAGAAAGAGCGGAGCAGAAACGAGAGTTGGAGTTTTGTGTTTTTGTTCTCAGAGAGGCACCATTTCGGTGCACATCCGCCGCACGGACCATGCCAAAGCCTCGACCTTGGGCGGTCGAAGTTCTCGTCGGCGCTCTTTTTTCAAATAGCTCTGCGCGCTTTTGTGCTTCTCCGAGTCCTCTCCGAGTTCTCTTTGCGTTTTCTCTGAGTTCTCTCCGAGTTCCCTCCGAGTTCCCTCCGAGTTCTCTCCGAGTTCTCTCCGAGTTCTCTCCGAGTTCTCTCCGTGGACTCAGCTCTCTACAGTTTCTTGGGCAGAGGCCATCGCACGATCCCCTGAGGACGCCGCCATTCTGATGGTCTGTGCTTGTCAAGTCTGAACCACCGCGAAATGGTTCAAATCCACGCCCCTCACTTGCAGGACCTTTTTGTGCAAGCTATGGACTCCTATGGAGCAGTCCGTGCCCCACGTCTAGCCGGTGAACCAGCTGTCAAGCAGAAATGCCAAATCCCACCACGAGGAAGCCAAGTTCTTCTTAGCCACAGACGATCCCGACGTTGAGTCAAGGCTACGCCTGCGTCGCGCTGGCGCACGCTTCAACTGCAACTTCAATATACTTCAACTCCTGTGAATTCCTTGAAGCCAAAATTGTGTTGGATATCTTTTGTTCCTCCAGCCCTTTCGGTCGGTTGCCTCAAACGGTGTTACCCTCATCAACTTGACCTCCTTCAGATTCATCGAATATAGGCCATGGCACGTGCTCTGAGCCAGGATACGGTCAGCGCCTATTGACGCAGCCCAAGCGCACGCTCAGCCGCAATGATCCAGAGGGCGCGGAACTAAGTCTTCGCTGCCTTCCATGAGAAGTAATTCTGTGGGAAGGCTGCTGAAGACCACCTTTGACGCAGAATATTTCAGCTCGAAAGTTGTATCCGGTTTTGGAGGCTAAGATTGAACTTTGCATCCTGTTGGTTTACTCTGGATGGTAGCATGCTTTGTGACACACACACACATGATTAAGCATTATGCGGTTCCGTATTCGATTCCGGAACTTCCACTACAACCCTCCTGCTTCCTATTCAAGCATCTAAGCTGCAAGTCTTGTTCTTCACATTCCCCAATTCAAAACCTTTCGCGAGCACAGACCTCAAGCCAGCTCTCTGACACATCGACTTTGTGGCACTAAACCTGTGTCAACGAAGGTTCCCATGCTTGACTTGCAACATTCTTTGTGTCAGCTTCGCTCGTACAGTCTTCCGAATTTGAAGCTTAAGCCATGTCACTTGGGAAGATCTGGACGACAGCATGAAAGCCTCGAGGTATTGAGGATGCCCTCTTGGACCTCTTGATGCTGTCGCAGGGACAAGAGGCAACCTTTCGCGGGCTTTTGACTTGAATCCAAGGATATCTCAAGTCGGGCCCAAAGCTGGAAATTTCTTATCGCATGGCATTCTGCAGCTTTGGGATAGCACTTCCCTTGAGTAAACATGAAGTAAGAACACCGAAGCCCACATTCCGGTCTTGCAGCTCATGTAAGATCCTGTTATTGTGGGGTAGCGCATGTTGCCCACTATTGCCCTGGGCCTCCGGGGAGGGGGATCCCTGCCGTTTGACTTTGACTTTCAACAGGACATGCACACCGTTGATTCTAAGGAGGCCCCCTACCCACCATGAACTCCGCCCCCGCCCCGCTCCCCCCCGGTGACACACATCAACTCGTTATTCAACATGGTTCGACATTCCTGAAAATCCTGAACACTGAGACTGGCACTCGTAGAATGGAAAGGTGCTGGGCTCCTACAAGTCCTCCTTCTCTGCGATGGCTGCCCACTTCCGGTGTGTTCCGCAGCCCTGCCTAATTGGAAGTAGATGTGGACAGAGGAGATGAGTCGCTGTAGCCATGATGATGTGAAATGCGCTTCTTGGTGCCAGGCTCCGCGTGGTGGACATCTCTCCTGAAAGAGATTCCCATCTGGTCAATGCCTTACAAGACTTCGCAAGTCTTCAGGAGCACTTCGTTTCACAAACAAAGGAAGCGACAGCACAGCCTGACATCCAAGAAGCTTTTGGACCGCTTCATTTCATGTGGCTAATGCTTTCCCGAGGCCACCCCGTCGAGAACAGGCTTCCGAGAGGTTTCCGTGGTCGCAGCCGATCCGGATGATGCTTGAGACTTTGTCCAGCTGTCCACGACGGATGCAAGGGCAAGGGCTGGACTGTGAAGAGAGCAATGTCACCTCCACACTGGCTCAAGCGCCACTGACGATGAGCACTTCTTGCCCTTGGACACGTCGTTGCGAGTTGCGTAGTGGGCAAACTCAGAGCTGCCCTCTTTGCTGCCCCTGCCGGGCCAGGTCCGGGCCAGGTCCGGGTGATCGGCGGATCGGAAAAAAGGAGCGACAACTATCAATACATTCAATACAATATCCTCACCTTGCATATCACAAGTATCAGCATGTGCTCTCGTGACCTCCACTGAGTCCTCTGAGTTGCCTTGCTCGTCTTTGGAGTCTTTGCTGATAAAGTTCTACTCGTAACATTTGCTCAAGGCCGAGTACTCTGGCGTTGGCTGGGACGCCGCCTCCCAGAGCGAGTGGGCCAAGCGTGAGTCCATGGGCGAGAAAGGCGAGAAAGGTGAGAAGCCGGAGAGGCCTCGGCCAATCATGAGAGGTGCCCGCCGTGCTATGGCAGAGGCCGATCTACACAGCGACTCAGCTGGTGAAGGCTATTCAGATTTCTATGACTCTTCTGAGGAGGAGTTGGTCAGTGACGATGAGGATGGCATGTCAGGAAGTAACAAGTTCGGACTGCAGTTCGAGCGAGTGGTGCCTGATTCCGCATATCATGCCACTGCAGAGGATGGTGCCCTAGTTGATGGAACGTTACAGGGAGAGACCTCCGAGTCTCCATCTGCACTGGAAGAGGCATTGGCGGATCGATGGTGGTCGCAACTCAGACGCCACTTCTTCAGACACAACTATCGGGCATATCGTCTGTTGGATGGTCGGTGGCAACGGGTACCTGATCCCAACGGCCCGCGGTACAAGCCCAGACAGAGGAAGAGACCTCGAGGTCTGAAGCGGGAGGAAGCGCAGAAACGAGAAATGCGAGCGGCAAAGCCTGCTGGAGTCTGATGGTCGAATTGAGACCCAGACTGCGTTGCATGCCGCTGTTTGCGTCGTTTGCCGTGCCTCGTTGCGCAACAGGAAAATGCATACTTGATGCATGTGTGTATGGCTACTTCTTGACTCATCTGCACGGGTAAGTTGGCTGTCCGACGTCAGTGATTGATCATCCTAATATTTTATAATTGGTTGCAAATGATGCTTGACCTGCTTCAGTTGCTTCAGTTGCTTCAGTTGCTTCAGTTGCTTCAGTTGCTTCAGTTGCTTCGGCTGCTTCAGTTGCTTCCTGAATCTCCGTAGTTTTTTGACCATTCAGTTCACGACCCATCTTCCTCCTAATGCTGATACATTGGTAGATGTACCTTCGTGTTCATGATATGCGCCGAGAGCACTCTTAGCGCAGACGTGCACAACAAAAGCAGTCTGTGATGTACCCTAGTCCAGGTGGCGGAAAGAGGGGGCTCGATCCTCATGCGGAGGTGCTTAGGTGCCAGGACCACTGGTGGTAACCTGTTCTGGGTTTCAATATGCGTCACCAGGCTATCGTAAGTTGGGGCAGTAAGTTGCTGATATCACTTATGTCCCCGACCTGTTGCTGAGAGATCCGGATGTCCTACTTCTTATTGTAGATGAGTTTCCCTTTCCTGTGGCCATCACACATTTGAGGAGGGCCCGTGATGCAACAGCCTCCTGTGCTTGGGATGGGGTTCCAAACGCGCTACCTGATTCTTCGTGGCTGAAGGCATGTCTGTACAAGTGTCTCTCCGACGTACTTTAGGAACCAGCTTTCATGGACTTTGAGGCTGCGTACATGAAAAAGCCTTCATGGACTGTGAATCTACAATTGAAAGCATGTGGAACGAAAATCCAGGATTTACATGACAATACCAAAAAACTGAAAGTCCCAGAGTGCCACCTTTCAGTTTATCGCTACCGAGTTGGCCCTTTGATGCGAAGGTCGCGTTCGACCCCTTGACCCTTCGGATGACGGAATTCGAGCCTGCTAGTGAGCATTCTGCAGCAAAGGGCGATGGAAGTACTATTGAAGTTGAAGGGGGGGGCAGCTTGGAGGTGAGCTTTTCAGGTGCCCAGGGAGCCCGCGAAGTTTCGGCTCTGGAGGGTAGGGGGGGGGAGAGGGCAGTCTCCAGACCCCGGCATGAGGATAAGCTTTCTGGCACAGCAGTAGCACAGCAACGAAAAGATCTCTGAAATCACAGAGGCTCGGAGACGGCAAGATGTCTGAAATGGGATCAGAGCGATGGCTTCTCACGGTAACGACTCTGAGGCAGAGGAGTTCCTGTGGAGCTTGGGTGTTGGAGCCTCGCTCCCACCCTGGTTACAAGACCTGCGCCACAAACAGCGGCATCAGGGCCTCAATCAGGGCCTCGTATGCCCAGTGTCCGGCTCGCGCAGCGAGGAGCGCCCAGGCATCGGGCCGCAACGTGAGAGCACCCTGCGCCGGACCGGACCATCCAGGCTGACTTGCGATGACAAAGATACGAGCGATGTGCAGGAAGTCTCAGACCAGCCCTTAGCTACCTTAGTTCATTGACTTACATTCACATAAGTGGTTCTGGCCCAGTCAAGGACCCAGCGAGAACTGCTACGAGCCCAAGACGGTACCCCTGATGTGCTGCACCCGTGCGATGAGCCTGCAATCACAAGCCTTGTGCCAGGGTTCACGCAGCAGCGGAGAGCTCCAGCCTGAAGGCCCAAAGTTCACGATGTGTCACTTGCCATGCCATGCCTCGCTCGGGCACTCAGGACTGGCTACTGAGCCTTGATCATTCCGGTTTCCTTGCGCCTTGGCAGCTCCATTGGCCCACTAAGCGCCACGGACCTGAAAGGGAGAGGCAAGGACAAGGAGGTATGATGGTTTGAGCCTTGGGGCATCGCGTCAGCGCATGCCAGCGCTGAGGTGCAGTACCATGACAACATTGCTAGCAAGCTGGACAGCGTGACACAAGTTGTTGCGACCTACATGAAGGCTCTGTCCTGCTCGCGGGTCAGAAAATTGTGTTTGCGCTTTTCCCCATCTTCGTGGAATCAGCAGGACTCTGGAGAAGTCGATTCTCAGTTCTTTGAAGACGCCGGGGTCACGAAACTAGGACTTCACGGGAGAGGGAACTGGAAGATTCAGCTCAAGCCTCGCACTGACAGGACACCGCCGCCTTTTCCAGAAATGGTTCCGGGAGAATCGCTTGGCTCAAGGCTTCCTCTCCGGGCCGCATTACAGCACATTGCGCATATCGGTGCGCACATGTCATTGCTGGAATGCTGGACTCGCCTGAGATGCTCGGCGACTCGGTGATGTATCAGTTTACCCGCAGTTCACCTTGTGCAGGTGCCGAAAGCCTCCCGAAGCACACGACGCGTGAGAACAAAACAGAAAACAGCCCCGTTTACGTGAGCATCTTTGCTCCGTTTGCAAACCGCAGTCCAGGCCCATGGAGGCTTCAAGAGAAGCTGCGTTGCATGTGTTTTGGGGCTCGAACAGCTGGTCATGATTTGTCACGAACAAGAAGTCCGAATTGCCCAGCAAACGTATGCCAGAGCAACTCAGTCAGATTTGACAGATTTCCATAACCATCCAAGCTCTATACTATATACTTTGAGCTGATGGAGATCGTCATGCTTGAAGCCGATGAGCTTCGGAGGCTTTGCGCAGCCTGGTGGGGCTCTCTGCCCATCACCGACGACCAGCGAACACAACTTTTGGAAATATCTGAGATGTTTAAGTTGCAAACTCCACGAAGCACGGAGCTTTTACACGAGGTTGGGGATGAGGAGTGTGGAGCGCAGAGTGCAGGTGAGCAAAGTCATGGAGCGAGCCTCCACAATCCGGCCTCGCAACCGCTGGGTGAGATCAACGAGTGTATGTATCCAACATATCCGGACCGTCCGGACCGGTTCAAGGTGCTGACCTGGAATGCATGTGCGATATCTTTTCCACTGCACATTCATCCAGTAAAGTTTGGTGTCGGCCTGCTCTTTGGATGTTGGTGGCACGACTGGCAATGTGATGTACCCATGCAGCTTGACCAGAACCAAGCTCGGTTCGCACGACAGGCCGAATACATTCGGCAATCAGGGGCTGATTTGGTGTTACTCCAAGAGGTGCTGAGCACTTCGATGCTTCAGGGCCTCATGCGTCACTTAGAAGACTTCGACCACTGTTACCTCAAAAGCAGCCCCAAGCCTGCAGCGCGCTTGCTTTGGATGACATTCCTGGCCATAGTGGCCCTTTTGCAGTGCCTTCTCATTCAGCTGCCTTTGTATGTCATCAGGGGCACCGCCACCGAGAGTACTTGGCTTTGGTTCTCGTTCTGTTGGATGGTCCTTGCCGCGATCCTGGCCCTCCGATGGTGGAACTCTGTAGCTGCGCATTTCCTGCTTGGTGATGTAGCAGGTCAGCTGGTGGCACTGCGCCGCAAGGATTGTAAAGCCTTGGCTGGGCCTGAATTTGGTGCTGCAGGCTTCGACATGTACAACACTGTTTTTCGCTTCGAGGGTCGTGAAAAGCATCCCTCGGACACGTGGGAGTCGTCGATTGAGACATCGTCGTGGCTCAGCGTTTTCTATCATGTACGACCCCGCGGTGTTCTGCGGGTAACAGTTCCCTTGACGCTAGCAGGAAGAACAGCAGTTTTGACTGTACTGAACACGCACATGCCTCACAACTGTGACAACTCCGACCTTCTACACAGTCTGGGAAGGCGCTCAGCAGATCTGGCCATGCAAGGTACCTTGGTGAACACATCTGCCGTGTTAGCTGTGCGTAGTATCTTGAACCGTCGCTGAGTTCGTTGGGGTTCAGGTTAGGTTTGGGGGTTTCTCCGCTTTGTGGCTTTCTCGGCTTTGCGAAACAGCAGCTGCGTGTGTTCACATCTTCGCATTGTGTCGAGGTCCTGTCATACTCGCAGGCGACTTTAACCCCTTGCCGGACATCCTGCTTCAGCATCAGCTTGATCCATTGCTAAAGTTCGGGCTGCAAGCTGCAGGCGGACTAAGCGACGAGCTCTGTACATGGGACTTGAACCAAGTGTTGACTCGGGAGAATGCCCGTACCCCGCGGACCATGCAACTGGATTTTATTTTTCATGTGCATCAGAGGACATCTCACATAGTGTCTCGTACACCTGATAGGCCCAGCAGATGCAGCACGGACAGCCTCGATTCTGTGGAGTCATTAGCTGTCAAAGAAGACAGCTGGGGGTCTCGCATGTCTCGCCACCTGCTTGACTTGGGGGTCGTGAGCACAGAAGTTGTCGACCAGGACAAATTTTTTCATGAGGGCGCCCCGCTGTCAGATCACTACGGGCTCATCAGCGAGTTTCGGGCGGGTTGGAAGCTCTCAAATTAGGAAGCTCCCGGAGGATCTTGCTTCCAGCCAGAAATACGTCAGTATGGCTCTGCGAAGCTTCAGGTCTGATGGAGTTGCATATAGCATATAGTTGCCCGTATAGTTGCATGCTTCAGGGCCCAGCTCTGATATCTGTCCAGCTGATTTTCCAGGCTGTAGGCGACAGGACATGCAAACGCAGGAGCTGTCAGCCAGCCTGAGCGGGTCGGGTTGTCAACACGTCGCCCAAGCTCTTAGTACATGAGAGTGGATCATCGCTGTCGGGAAAAACCTTCGATGGAAAAGGGAGCTCATGCCAATGACGAACCATGGCGTTTAGCTTTTCAAGCTTGGCTGCGCATGACGCACTCATGGCTTCGCGAAACTGCAGAGACCGGGCTGCAAGAGTACCTGCTAACAGGAAAGCCTGTAAACTTCTACACCACAGGACAACCTCCTCAAGCCACAAGCCGATGCATGCATCGAAAATTCAACATCCCAACAGCAGTCCACTACAAGGCTAGCAGCATCACAACTGTTCGGTATGGAGGAGCCAGCCAACTCGCTTGTATTGTCAGTCATACATCGGAGGGGGTAGGCCAGCCACCGTTCGCAGTAGTTCCCTGGCTCGTGTGGCCATGGATTGGGAGGTGGTTTGGGGGAGGGGGCCCTTGGGACTTGGGACGCTTCAGGTATGCGGCTTTGCGAAGGCCTTCTGTGGCCCAGTGATCAGTTTTCACGTGCTCCGATGGCGAGAGATCATCTTCAGATATCTTTAACACCATCTGTTGCAACATCAGAAAGGAAAGCGGCAGGCTGTAGAGGTGTAGGCTTCACGCTCAGCCGTTGCGAGGACCTCGACCATGCGGGTCCTCACGACATTTCTGCTTCCCCTCACGTTGGCGATGAAGGCACATGGTCTTCTGGCATCAATTTGGCGGAAGCCCACGCTGCGAGCGTTTTGCATTGCAGGTGCCCTTTCCTCCCGTCCGCGTCGAGCCACCTTTCATTCTGCTCCTGTAGCATCCTTAGGAACAAATTTGTTGTTGTTTTTCCATGTTTTGTTTCCGCAAAAGACGAATGTTTTCGAGCTTCTCGTGGCAGATTTCGTCTGGTCATTGCCTCTCCCTGCCGAACCTCTCAGAACCGACCTCGGCCTGGCCCCCGGCGCCGTGGTCTCTGCCAACATCTCCGTCTCCGAGGGCGGCGCCGCGCGGGGCCTCGAGAGAGTGGAAGGAACAAGCGAAGGACAGGGAGAGAGAGGAATCCGGGCGCGCCCAGCGCGCGGGGGCGGGGCGCCTCCAACCCCTCAAGCCCAGCAGAGGAAGAGGGAGAGGGAGAGAGGGAGAGAGAGTCGGAACGAGTCACTGAGTCGGAATGGGGCAGCAGTTCGCATCGAGGTCCTTATGCTCCTGACCAAAGAAGAGGCCAGTTTAAGTTTAAGTGACCTTGTCAGCGCCCAGGGCTTTGCTGCTGTCTTTGCCAGTTGTTGAAGTGGGAAGCAAAGATGATGAAGCTACCACAGCAAGAGCTGATCAATGTCACCTCTTATTTCGCTAGGTCTGGCTCTTGGACTGAATTGCATGAAACGCCGTTGTCAAATGTTGTCAACTCTGGCCGCCTGCTTGCTGTACTATCTGTACTGATGTACTGAGTCAATGGAGAGAACCGTTCCAGAATTTCATCTCCGCAAGGACGCTCACAGCTTCGCTTTCACGTGCTTCGTGTTGGGCTTCCGAACGAACTGCAGAGTTTTCTTGCCGCCAGGATGAAGGTACCAGGCCCAAAGGTGGACCTTTATGTCGTCCCGAGCTGAGACATGCCAGTAGTGTCAAGCTCGATCGGAAGCACAGGTAGCATGGGTCAACTTGGAACGATGTGCTGTGTGCCATGTATTTCTTCATGTGTCCTGGTTCCCGCCATAGGTCGGCCTCTTTCACCACCGCGGAGCTCAACAAATGTTCGAGGCTGGTGCAGCTTGCTTTGGATAGCAGCAAAGGCGACTCTTTTTGTAGTCCCAGCCAGGCTTCACGGCATCCAGGGTCGGTTGAGTCGGCTCACTTCAGAAAGAAAGGGAGACAAAGGAGAGACACAACTTTTCGAGCATTGCCGCGAGAAGGAACGTCGAAGAAAACCCTCCACTTAAACAAATGGGTACACCCATATCCCCCCTTCTTTTGTTGAGTATGTCTCGAAATATCCTGTTTACAAACCTTTTTCCAGCACCCCCCTGATCATTGCACAATGCTGTGCGACAGTCCTGGTCCTTGGATCCGGCCCCGTATTGCAAGCTGATTGCTTTTTTCAATCTCCAATACGGGGCCGGATCCAAGATCCAAGATTGCGCCGGAGAAGTTTGAAGGCAATCTTGGATCCCGGCGCCCCCAAACTTCTCCGTGGCAATCTTGGATCTCTGCTCCGACCCCGTATTGAATCCATGTTGCGGTTAGGTTGGGTAAGAGTTGGTGAGCGTTTGCCACCTGTAATGGTTTGCGGTCTAGGGTTTTGGGTTTGTTTTTTGGATTCATACAGGTTCAGGCTTGGGGTGCGTGAGTTAGAAAGTCGTAAGGTTTGGGGTTCTAGGGTGTAAGGTGTTAAGGTTGCTTTTTGGGTTTTAGGTTGAGGGGTGTAGCGTTTACAGTTATTTCTTTTGTTCTTTCCTCCATGTCTTGAAGCTTTCTTCTCTTTGCATAGACGAATAGCTCTTGACGTCATGTGCGACTTGCCAGGGCGAACTGGACTTCGTCAACCCGGATAACCAGCATCTGCCTCTCCAAATGGTGCGCTGCCCATGTACATCAGAAGATAGGAAGGAAGTGTTAGACAGGAATTTCTGGAAGTTGTGATTCGGAGACATTGGCCAGTCTCAGTACTGGTTGCTTTCTGGGATGAGGAGTTGCCATGATTCATGAGCCACTCGTCATGCCATGTGGGAATATGCATTCACATGTTGCATGCAATGGTTCTCGGTCCTTGGGTGCGCGAATAAGGCATGGGCCCTTGTAACCTCGTACAAGTGGCCACATCATTGCACCCGAATGCGTTGTAGATCCTTCCTTCTGCAGTCGATGCATCGTTGAGGTGCACTTACCTCGAATCTGTGAAGTGGCCAGCATTGCCTTCCTCGTGCTCGTCCAAGCTACGGCGGTGCTGGCATGGCCTTAAAAAACATGATGTTACTGTACAAAACGGTCAAGAGAGCTCCTTGCTTCGGCGCCTCAACCCCCAGTCAACGCGTCTCTGAAAAAAACCACGCTGGCGAGCATCAGTACCCCTCAAACCCTCGACGTCCAGACACAAAGTTCCCAACTTGCCATCGGTCTCAGGGGTTTGATGGGGTGCCTGGTTTTGCTTTGCGCCAGCTCGTCATGATGTGCACTGTGGGCTCGGGCGATCGACACAAGCTCCACGCCTTGCTCATGGCGGCCACTGGCCTGAAGGCCACAAACAGTTCTGAGTTGAGAACTTTGAGAACCTTGAGCTCGCTGCTTTTGACTTCTGTGGACAATCGCATGGCTTCCTCTGGGTCAAGGGGAGATAGTGGCATCATGTCAGCCATGTAAGGGCAACAGCGGCAAAACCATGTCAGTCATATCAGTGGATTGAGGTAAGCCTTGTAGACACAATGTCCATGGCCTCTCTGCGCGGCGAGACTTTGGGACCCTGCGGCTCGGCCAGGAAGCGAATGCGCAGCGAGCCCAGCTCGAGAATCAGCATCAAGGGGCCTCAGGAGAGTCATCGGAGCAAGCGGAGATAGTGCGTGATAGCCTGAGGTGACGCGATGCAGCCAATTGTTGAGGTCAGAGATCTGCCAAGTTCTGAGAGTGTGAACTGAGTGAAACTTGCATGCCCTGACTTTGTTTTCTGAATGGCAGGATGCTGAATGCAGCCATCATGTGCACCGAGAAGTCATGGGTCTCTTCAGTGAGGCACTGGCGACGGCATCACAGAAGGTTGCCAAGTCGTACTTGCGCAGAAAAGCTGCTTACGAGCAGCAGCAAGAGGCCCTAATGCTGCAGGAAGCAGACCTAGCCCTGGCTCTTCATGCCTTGCGAAAGACGGGTTCAGAGCTCTGCAGTCGCCAAATGGAGATTACACAGACGCGTGCTGCCGCGGTCGAAGCCGGTCGGGTCTTGGACCGCTTGCAGCCAGTCTCCGCGCTCGTTGATGGTGTGCGCGAGCTGCTTCAGAAAGGCCCTGAGGATGCCCAAGCTGCGGATGGCATCGTGCGCATGCTGCAGCAAGAGCTGCGGAACCGCGGAGAAAACTCCCTTGCCGACGTCGCGCCCAAGATCCTTCTGAAGCATCCCAGCCTCCGGGACGGCTTTGCTCGGACGGCCGAGGCCCACTTGGCGCAAGTGGTCATCGAGTTCAAAAAAACTGTTGCGCAGACGCTTTGCTGCATCTTTTGTCAATAAGTGGTTGGCGACAATCTGTATTTACTAGAAGTTACTCCTCCGCAGCTTGGTGTTTTGGTACTATCCTGGAAGCATATTTGTTGCCAGTGCCTCTGCAATGCTATTCCAAATGAGCAAGCGCCAAGTCCTCTCTCCATTCAAGTAAGCAAGGGGCGGACGCGAATGCTTAAAATCCTATAAATCGATGGGAGCACTTGTCAAACCACACCCCTAAGTTGATGGAGTGCACCATCGGCAATAAGCTTGAACATTTCCAAAGCGAACCTTCAGACATGAAGCAGAGATATCTGATGCCAAAACCCCATGAGCACAACCAGGGGAGTTGTGGCAGCCGCTCAAATGTCAAGGCCGGGGGGAGGCAATGACCATTCTTGTTCACTCAGAAACCCCGTGGATGCCCACAGAATCGAAGACATTAAGTTTTAAGTTTTAAGCCTCCCGGCAACCCCCGAGATCGCTGGTTTCGTCTTCCCGTTAATGTCAGCCTAACAGCCGCGCATCCATGCACGATTGCATACCATGGAGTATTTCCCGGATGCATCCAAACGATAAAGTTTCACAGGAATGCGGCTTGCTTTACGCAGAAGACGGTGAGTTTTGACTCACCGAAATTCCGCACTCGTCAGCGAAAAGGAAGATCTGGTGTGCTAGGATGTGCCATCACCGTTTCTCTCTCCTTATCAATCTTTTGCTTTGCATTTGCTCAATTAGTTGTCAGACCCTCACTCTCTTGTGCTGTTCTCGGATGCTGAGTGCTGATTTCATCTGGCTTCAGCCATAGTTTCAGCTGAGGGCGGCGGCGCACCACTGCAGTGCCTCACAGGCCTTCCAAGAAGCGCAGGCGGCCTTCGCGGTCGCTGTCGGTGCAGACACGCAGGCCGCAGACAAGGTGCACGCCTCCAGGTTTAGGTTTCTGAATTTCCAACACCCCTTGCATCCTCTAGCATCGCTGCCCCCCCCTACGGCGCCTGTGAACACAGGTGCGCAAGCAGAAGGCAGCTTTCGAGGCAGGTGTTTGCAAGGATGTCCGTCGCCTTGCCGCTCCTTTGCAAACACGAGATTGTACACCTGAGGAGCAGCATAGGCAAGCCAGCATGCACAGAGATGCCCTCATGGAGGCGGAGGAGAAGGCTAGGGTATGCCAGAGCTGAGTGCGAATTGTAAGAAATGCTTTGTTGAGCCGGTGCGGGCAATGTTTTAGAGTGGTTGGAACGATCCGTCGACAGGATGTGTGCTTCAGTCATATTGTGGCTCCCTTTACTTGGACGCTGCTCGTCTTACATTAACGACGGGGTCGTGCGTGCTGAGTACAAAAAGTACTCAATAACATAGATGACGTATGCATTGGCTGCATTGACTATGAAGCCAGTCTGGATGATTGTACTTGCTGTTGCTCGAAGCCAAGGACTGCGCAATTGCATGAGAAGTCAGAGAGCGACGACTCAGGCAAGAACTTGTTCCAGCTTGTCTGCGTAGCGCACACGCAGGACACGGTGTAACAGTGTAGGGGCAACGGTCGCATGGCCGCCTCAGCCCTGATGTGCTCTGTGGCAGGTGACGCTTCAACGTGTGCACCAGAGACCCCTTACGCAGTTGAAGGCAGACTGGAGCCAGACGACTCTTGGCAGCGATGGTGACTCGCATCTTATGTGAATAGAACGTAGCGACGTGAGGGTAGATGTAGGAAGCCTGCGTGGAGAGAGCCTAGAGTGGGCAGCCGGCCATTGAGACTGTTGAATTGCTATTGGTATTCTTCAACATTCTCCAGTGCACCCACTCCTTGCATTTCTGTGGGGTGCGGGTGCCTTCCTACAAGGAAAGGCCGACACCTCCGAAACTCGCGCGACGGATGGACCAAGATGTGCCTGGCGCATCTAAGACTGGGCGCGCGACACCGCAAGGTTTACAAGCCCACTTCAGCTGAAGTTGCTGTGTCTGGCTTGTGCATGCTATGAGCTGTGCAGATAGCAGCGCAAGCCGACTGGGCCTAATTTGCCTGCACGACGTTGTACAGCTGCCGCCGTTGTACGGGACTCTTGCCAGTTGAGCTCGAAGGAGGTATAGTAGCATTCATAACAGGGCTTGTAGATTCTAGATCCAGTAAGGTGAAGAGTGTGGCCCCGTCCAATGGACCTGGCTCGTAGGGCGCCTCATCGCGGCACAGGATGAGATCTGCTTTGTGCATAGACACTCGTCAGTTTTAATGCCAGGCTTCGTGCAAGTGCCGGCTTGACCGAGATCAGGATGAGTGGGATGAAAGGGGGGCACCGGCTCATATAGCAACGACGAGTCGGAGACTTGCAAGCCAGCACTATGCCGATAGTGTGGTGCGCAGAAGGCATCATGATGTGCAAAGGCAAAACCTGTGCCTGCATGGGACGCGGGGATGCTGGGGGAATCTGCCAATATGACATGTCAACTCTAAGCCACGAAGACTGTGCAAGCCTGTGCAAGGCATTGGAACTGGCAGCGAAGGCCAATGCCTACCGCGCAAGGGGCTGACTGGGGCTTCCGCTCACTTGTCCTGTCATTGGGCCTCGTTGTTGGTTGGGAGGGAAAGGATCAGGAAAAGGTGAGGAAAGGGGTGGAGTGAGGAAGGGAGGGAGGGAGAGAGAGAGAGAGAGAAGGTTGAAGGTGACTAACTCGGTTGACGCACGCCTTCGGGCGGCCTCCTCCAATGATAAAAAGTTTGTTGCTGCGTAGAAAGAAAGACAACTAGAAGGTGAAGATCCATCTGGCATGAACGGAGATGAGCACCACGGAAACCACCAGGGAGGAAGAAGCCAACACCACCTGGTACACCTCTGACCAAGAAGCAGATTGGAGCAAGTTGACAACCACCAAGCACACCATCCTCGAATACCCCAACCAGGGGATGACATCACTACGAAACACAGATAGGAAGAAGAATATTGTCAGAACTCCTGGAGGCACGTGCATCCCTGAAGGCGAAAAAGATAGTACCTTGAGTTCAAGGAACCAAACGCACAGTTTAATCTCAACACTTCAACAAGTGAACATGAGATCTTTGATCTTCATGATCTTTGCTGCTTGTAAGAGTCAAGGAGCCCACAGAACTGTTTTGTTCCACTCCCTTGGTTGCTGGGGCCTGATGTCAGCATTCACTCACGAAGAATGCAAAACCGCCTCGCAGATGAAGCTAAACAACGACAAGGGCAAGTGCAACAACTTGTACCATAGAGATGCTCCATTTCTTCATCACGAGCAAACTTTCCAGCAGCAGGCATTGGAAATTGCCTGTAGATGAGATCGCAGATGTTTGCGTCATGCCCTGCATCGCGCTCATGTCGAAAGCCTGCGGGCATTGTGCCCAAACCTCTGTAGAGAGTCGTATAGTCGTAGAATGTCGCAGAATAGAGCAGACTGTTGTGGAGGATTTCGTGGAGCATGTGATGTGCAAATAGCAGCTGGCATGTGCAGACCAAGGCCCTGTCACAGGTGGGGGAGGTTGCGGAGTGGAGGCTGCAGGCAAGGCCACACTTTGCCCCGGGAAACGGCAGCTAACGGCAGAAATTGGCAGCAAGAGCGTTGCGGCTGGGCTTTTCAGTGTATGATGTATATTGCTGTATATATATTTATATATTATCGACAAAGGATGCCGAGTGACGTATGCCACGGCAGCAAGAGCAAGAATGCATACGGCAGCACCTGCAGCAGGCTTGTTCACTCTTGCGAGACTTGCATGGTCTCTTTGAGCTCCTGCTCATGGGCCTGGTTGCCTTAGGCACAGTGGTGCTGTGAGAGGTTGACTTTCAGTGATGTGCTTGCGCAAGTTGGGTAGCTGAAGTAGATGTTTCCCAAAGACATCTCGGCACAAATGTCTTGTTCAAGAAGCCGGAGTTACATGGATGTTGCGCGTGTGTTGTGCGGGCGTTGCGTGGACCGACGGTGCGTGACGGAATAGGCGACGCGAGATCGGAGGCATGACGGTGCGTGTAAATCGGGGTCGTGGCCGGGCGTGATGGAGCTCTGACAGGGCGTGATGGCGCGTGACATCGCGTGACGGTGTGTGATGGAGTGTAAGGCCTGGACAATCGTTCTTTGTAGTACAAATTGAGTACGCGAAAACGCCTCTTGGAGGCCTCCCGGAGCTCTGAGCGTGGAAACTCGTTCTTCGTAGTACAATTTGAAGTACAATTTGAGTACGACTTGGTGTGACGGAGTGTACACAATCCAAGAGGAGGGGGGATCCGGGGGGGTGACAGGGCGTGATGGAGCGCAAAAGGTGGGTGGGAGGCGGAACGGGCGAGATATCTTTGACCTTTGACCGTGGGTTCCTGTCCTTCACTTTGACCGCCCGCAGCTGCTTTTATGGATCGAGGGATGCTGGTTGGGAGCAGGCAAGCATAGGCAAGGCATGGGCGCAGACCTGGGCACAGACCATTGCGCAGACCAAATCACGCAGAGCCACTGGCTAGGTGAGGTTCACACCATGTGTTCCAGAACTGTTAGGAGAGTCTTGAAGCAGCGATGGCACAGCAAACGCAGCACGTCAACGATAACAATTGCGCGGCCAGTTGCGAGATGTTGCTGTACAGCATGCCAACAATGGCCCGGCTTGGAGTCGGAAGACACCTGGGCTTAGGCAAGGCCATTTCAGGCAGTAACCAACTAAGCTGTGGTACAGTATGGAAAAGTCGTTGAGTGGTTTCGAGATGCGTTGCGCTCAGTGCCTGCCGGGATTGGGCTTCCAGCGCAGAAGCGCAGAAGCGCAGAAGCCAGGTGTGCGTGCCTGATGAACTGGAGAGATGCACTCCAGGCGCCTTTCCGAGGGATGAGGGGGTGGTGGGCCTTGCCCGCGGCAGGGTTGACAATTGACCCGTGCATACCCATGCTGAATCGACAAACAAGACTTCGCCAAGTGTGAACACGGGGGTCGGCTTTTACATTTTCCTGGAGGGACACGGGAGTGTGGGGGGGGTACCGAGACTGTGCAGTACCTTGGCCCTGAAGCTACGAAGCAGTCTGTGAAGCGAGTCACCTGGGTCTCTCAACAGTGCGCCCTTTTGGAAGGCAGAGCTCGGTCACAAGAAGTCGTTGGGCGAGGCTTTGAAGGCCAGGCTTCAACTTGTAATGCGGCAGCTGATGGCTGGTGGCTTGCTGAAGCATCTCGGAAGACTAAGGTGTTTGACTTCCTTCAGGGGGAGTGGACCAACGTCCAGGACTGTGTGACATGGGAGCTGCCTTGAACTTTGCAACTTTGCACGCTTTACAGATCTTTGGCTGTCGTCTGGCAAGAGAACGAGCTGAACAGAATCGGCTTGTTGGCTTGCTTAATGCTGATTTGCTTGCCTTGCCATGCGGAGAACGCTGGTGAGACTTATTTGATCACCGGCAAGACCGTCCGAAACCTTGGCATGTTAAGTCTCTGACAGCTTTGCGGGCGCACTTCCGGCAAGTGCAGCTTGCATGAATGGCTGCCGTGCTGCCAGGCAGAACAAATGATTTGGGAGTCAGGACTTTTAAGGAATGGCTCGTTTGGGAGGACTGCCGCCGGCCACTGCTACTTTCCCGTGCGACATGCATCATCATTCTTCTTTCCAATCGGCAGGAGAAATGGCACACCGTTGCCTGGGGCCCTCAGCGGCGATCCTTTCCTTAATCTACCATCTGCCAGTCTGGAAGATCTGGCCACAGATTGCGACTGTGACGGGCCATGTGGCGCTGCGATGTTGTGAATCTTGAGGATACTACCTGGACAAGTTCAGGCCCCAAGACGAGGACACGAGCAGCTGATCAGATCAGAAACCTTTCGCGTCAGCCAAACGCAGTCACGGTCTTCGTGTTGACTCGCGCTTAACTGCGCAGGAGGTGAAGTGGACATGCTACAACAATGGTGGAGGGAGGCCATTCCGCCGCTCAGCTGAACAGGAAATGGCAGCCCCCTGTACAGACCGTCCGCATGCGTCGCATTCCGTCACAGTTAATGGAATATCAATATGTTCGAGATTTTGTTTTGTTTTGGGGGGTGTTTTTCCATGTTTCGTTCTTTGTGCAAGGTGTTTGGTAAGCAGGAAGGAAGGAGGTAAGGAAGCAGGGGAGGCAGGCGGGAATGAAAGAGGAAGTAAGGAAGTAAGGAAGTAAGGAAGTAAGGAAGTAAGGAAGTAAGGAAGTAAGGAAGTAAGGAAGTAAGGAAGTAAGGAAGTAAGGAAGTAAGGAAGTAAGGAAGTAAGGAAGTAAGGAAGTAAGGAAGTAAGGAAGTAAGGAAGTAAGGAAGTAAGGAAGGAAGGATTGCTTCAAAACCCATACGCATCTCTTCCAAACCCGATGTGCTAGCATGGTGCTGCAAACAACAGAAAATTGATTCACAACCCATATTCTGAATCCTTTTGACCCAGTCATGCAAATATTGTTTCAGTCAGGCATGTTTCCAACAACCGCAGAGTAAGCGACGATGCACCAATAAGCAAAACAACCACACATAGTAGGCGAAGACGAACAGCCGCACAGGAAGTCATAACGCACCACTAAGCAAAGCAACGAAGATGCACCAATACGCAAGACAACCGCACAGTAAGCGAAAGGAGCGCCCATTAATTCAGCTGTGGACCCCAATAGCAAGCTGAGTTTGCCTTCCTTTGAGAGCCACAGACGTAGTTTGCGAAGACGCGCCGCCAAGCTAAACAATCACACAGTAAGCCAAGACTCGCCAATAGTCAAACAACCTCACAAAGGAAGGCGCCCCCATAAGCAAAACACTTGCACAGCAAGCAAAGTCGCGCCAATATATGCATGTATTGCATCCTGGGTCCCTTCATGGGGCCTCCTTGTAAGGCATTTCCGTGTAAGCAACGCGAGAGGGACAAAGCCGAAAACAAGAAAAGCACCAATAAGCCATAGCAGCTCCGCATTTATTTAGTCCTGCGCCCGTTGTTAGTTGGCTGTTTAATTTCGTGGAAAATTTGGAGCCGGACCCAGACTTCAGAGGAACATGTTTTGAAGGCCCACACCAAATACTGAACCGACTGCTACTGAATCACAACCGAAGCCCAACATGGAGAGGATGGAAGCGTTCCGAGAGATCCGCCGGCCAAGACGGTCCGGGTCAGGCCGTTGACATCCTTTCAAGCATCGGAATCGCTGGTTCATGTCCATGGCTTTCCTGGCTTTCCTGTCCGTTTCGCCCTGTGCATGGCAGGAGCCCACTGGCGGGAACGAGCCCGACGTGAAGGCCACCAATAGCTGAATCTGCATCACGTTGGCTGCAGAGCTTCTTTCAGGAGCCCCTTTTGCCTTGCTTTGACAGGCCCTAGCGCCAAGGCCGAAGGCGCGTCCAAGAACGAAGGCGTCCGGTCTTGCAGACAAGTCATAAGACCTCTTCTATGTTGGCCTACGGTTGGCTTGGTGTGTGCACTCGGTTGGCTGGGTTTTTTACCGTAAGATAACATGCCAACCATCCGCAGAGGAAGCGCCGTGGAACAACCCGACGGAGTTTGAGCAAGAAACGAAGGAGGCGGACCTGCACCAGCATCTCCGCCATGTGAGCTTGGTCGAGTCCTGAGCCAGTCCTAGCCTCAGGTCAAAAAAGGCTTGAAGCCCAAGGGTCCACAAGCGAAAGGGAAGCCCAAGGGGAAAGCAAAACCCAAGCTGATGACCAGCAAGCCAAAGGCCGGACCCTTCAAGAACCGAGGCCTGGAAAGTAGAATGAGTAGAATGCGTTCGTGGAAATATTCGGTACTTTGTATCGGCTGGTGGCACCTCTTCTTCCGAGGCACAAAGCCTGAGGAAACGACGGAGGCCAAGCAAGAAAAGCCAGAAGAGCAAGAGAAGCAAGTAAAGCAAGAGGGCGTTGAGATCGTCATCGACGCTGAGCCCGAGGCGCCCTGGCGTGGAAGAAGGGGCAGTTGACCCCCCTGCACTAGCTCTGCCTCTGTGGTTGTGCGCATTTCTCAGGACAAGCCGAAAGCCGGATCGAGGCTTGTCTGATAAAACAATCCTGTTTCGAACAATCTGCCATGGAGCTTTCCTACCACTTCTGGCATTGCTTCTCAAGAGCCCAGGGCAACAGGCTTAGCTGATGATCCTCCAGAAGACCCAGGATCATCAACGGCGGCGCCCAATGAAAAGGAGGTGTCTGACCTTGTTTGCTGTCACCTCCTGGTGTGTCACCTTCCCATGTCCAAAATGAGTTGCATGTCCTCAGCTGCGTGGAATCGCTGATCACCTCCCTTGTCCTCCCTTTCTCCTTCATTCTCCATCATGCCACTGCGATAAAGCGACACGCAGATTGCAATATGGGCGAGCGCCCGTGCGGGTAGCTGGCCCAGCCCTAGATTTTCACGGTTTTGTCCAATGCCAGAATCGCATATGCCACAGAAATCCACGAATAACTGCTTGAAAGGCCATGGCTTCTTGAACGTATGCAATACATGCGTGTATGGTTTTAGGTCTGGTTAGGCTCAGGCATTGCCTTAGAAAGGTACACCCGCCGGTGCGGAAGATGAAGGCTGCGCCCGCAGGCGGTGTAAGCTCCAATCAGAGCTGGGATCACGTTTAGCAGCTTTTTGCTGAAGATAACCTTCTTGACTCATGCTACTCATGCTGCTCATGCTGCTCATGCTTCGGAAGCTTACTGGCTGGATCCTTGCAGATGGTGCCGACAGTGTAGCCGCGGTGTTCTCCGAAGCTGATCTCCTCGGAGCAGATCCAGGCACCATCGGTGTCATGTGCAGCTTGCGGTCTTCTGAGGGCTGGGATGGGAGAGTCTTTCATCACCAGGCTGGGAGAAGGAGCGGCTGATCGCCAGGAAACTCCTTGCCCAGGGTAGAGCCCTTGGTTTTGAAATGATTTGAACAGGGCCTTCTTGGGCTTTCCAACTGCGCAGACGTTTGTAAACAGGCTTTCGACCCAAGCCTGAAGAAGAGGCTGCGCCCGGTTGTCTGATCGGGTGTACAGTATACGGCATCATGGCACGTCAGTGCAGATGGCTACTCACGGCAGGATGCTTCCCAAGTTCCGGTGGACATCGGCTTCGAGGACTCCGATTTCACTGCCACCTCAGTCTCCAGCCCCACACATCACATCCAGTTTGAGAAGAATCCCTGTTCCTCATGACTTGTCTCGAATCCAGTTTCATGCCCGATGCACAGCAGGCTGTGCCTGTTTGGCTCGACAGCGGTGGATATCTTCCCCCGTGTACACATGTTGACAGGGATGTGCCAAGACGACCTTTATGGTCGGAAACATGAGTTCTATGCCTCTATGTGCTAATGGCGCTCTTCCGTATGTTTACATTTACATCTTGAGTTCTTGTGAGCCCGTCGCTGCCGCGCTGCCAAGGGGGCAGCCTCGAGGCGGCCTAGAAAGCCGATTTGTCATGGTAAGCCTTGGAACTCAGATGAAGTTCGCGCCGGACCCTCAGTTGTCGGTGAACACCTGTGCGCTGCCTTGCACGCTTCGTGCTAGAACAGTCTTAGAATGCCTCCCGCAGTGCCAAGGGGTGCTGCGGCTGGCGCATCCAGTGCTGTCGGCAAGGCAGCAGGCTCTGCACCTCGCTTGCATGTGAGGAGTGGATGGCATTTCTCCGACTACTTGTAGTCGTGGTACATAAAAGTGATCCATATACTGATAGAAGCTCCAAGTCCCCAAGTCCACCCTTGCATGCTGGACGATGCCGGCTTTTCACCATGTCTTCCTGTTCTTCGTCTTCCTCTTCTTGGCCCGACGCCCCGTAAACGCGCCAAACTTACCTTACATCAGTATTTCCAGTGTTTCGCGTGAACCACATGTTTACCGACATGCCGATTACAGCAGTATGTACAGTGTTTCGGATGGTTTACATGCCGGAAACATCGGTATTTCTGTGCGCACCCTCATCACCAACTACTACTACATGAAGATGAGTAACAAAACAAGAACAACGTCCGGACGCCCTATAACATCGTAGAGCACTGCATGTTGGACAGCGTTCGCTTGTTGATGTTGTTTATTGGCATTGCTTTTCGCAGGGCCTGCGTTGTACGACAGCAACTACTTCTAAAGAACAGTACTTGAGCTTCTACTGAGAGTCATTTGTTTCCCTGGTCTCCGTCATTGTCTGCGCTTCTGGAGAACGCGCGTTTCGCTTGGGGCGTCGTCTGCTTTTGACGGGAATTTACGTGATCGCATGCTTTGCATTGTGGCGGAGCCGAAAAGCAGGTAAATATGCATTAGGTTTGGCTGCAGATTGCCGTCGGGAGTGTCAAAGCTGCGCACATTGGGGGGTTTCTGTATTCGGGACGTGTGCTCTTTGCTTGTTGCGCTTGGCGGCGCAACCGGCGTGACCCTTGGTCGTACCGTAGGGCCTGTCTGCATAAGATTCAGGTTCTTCCAGAAGCTGGACATTGCTTATGATCGCACAAAGCGTCCCATTTGGAAGGTGCAACACCTCATAGCACCGCACTCCACAGACCGCCGACAGGCATGAGAGCCCGCAATTAATTGTTCTTCATTGCTGCCGTTGTGCAGCTGCTGCTTTCGGTGCATAATGTTGCTATTGCTACTATCGCAACAGTACGCAGTAGTGCTCTGATTGCACATGTGCTATCAGCGGCTTCCTTCATCGTGCAAACAGCTGAAGTGTGCTGGACCAAAAAAGGAGGTGAAGAGTCGCACTTGCCTTCAGAGGACAAGTGTTAGAAGCTGCGGCTAATGCTGGCCACTGAGGCCAAGCAAGCAGCGTCTGGCTCCAAAGGTTCCAAGGCTGTCGAGTCTGAAGAGGAGGAGGGTTTGGAGGGTTTTGAACTCTCTTGCAGGCTTGGCTTTGTGCTTCTAATCCGCTGGGATCCCACTTCTTGGCAGTTTGATAGGACTCTGGAGTGGAAGAAGCTACAGACACAGCAAGAAAGGACCACAAGATCAAGGGACACTGGACAGCAAGAAGACAGATCCGCAGCCGTTGGGCTGCTCTGGTTTGCCGTACTGCGAGTGAGCAGGGGTAACACGAATTTCGGTCTTCATTCCTAGACATTTGGGAGTAAGCCGATGTAATGAGACATACACCGATGTAAGCCGACAAGCTTACTGGCTTATCAGCTGATATCGGCCCATCAGCTTCTGCCTCGGAGCCTATTCGCTTCTGGGCATATTCGCTGCAGCGCAACTAGGAAACCAGATTTGCCGACAGTGTACACCTGAGGAGAGAAGAAGGTGGAAGTTGCCACCTCAGTTTTGGCCTCCAATGGTCCAGTTGTGTACCAGAGGTGACTTGAGTCGTAGTTAACAGTGTAACAGAGTAACAGAGTCAACAAAGGGCCGGATCCAGTTTGGTCCATGATTCCGGGCACTCAGTCTTTTGCCGGGCTGCTTTCAGGTGGGCGAGTGGATGGATGACCTCTTCGAAGGCTTTGCAGAGTTGTACCGTGCGCCTGTCTCAGTGTAACTTGAAAGTCAGCACCCACCTGGGCATGTACGTTCAAGAACGCATGGGGCTTCAGCATGCGCGTCAATTCAGTTGGCCATCAATGGTGGCCAAAGCTGCGGAGACTGTGTCCGCAAGACCACCTATCCCATCAAGGACCAATCATTGGGTGCACTCCAGTACCTTGAAGTGAGCAGATCCCACTCAGCTTTCGCTGTAAGCTTCCAGTGTGTTGTTGTGAGACCGAGCCTTTAAACTTGCACTGAATCATACTGAATCCATACAATCTTGCTGCAGGAGTCGATTTTGGGAGCCTATGATGGTGTCTCAGCCCAGGCCTGGACTGAGGGTTATCGGGTTATCGCATCTGGTCAATGTGGCTGGATGCTACAAGCATTCTATCCAATTTGTAAGAGTGCACCATCGTGCACCTCAAACCATTATAAGTGTGCATTCCGTACTGCGTGAGCAGGTTAATCCAACAACGGGTGCTCGTGCCGCGGCGGGTCGCTCCGCGGCAGCGCCGACCTTCCGCCATGAGTAGATGCGTAGCTGCGCGTTGCATCGAAGCCGATTTCCGGGGAGCTCTTGAGGAGCTCCTCGAATGACATGGTGACCACAATTGACTCCATGAGCGTGTAAACTTGCGTGGTCTCGATCGCAGCGCGGGCGTTTTTCACAGGATGACAGCCAGCGTCGGGGGAAGAATCAGGGATTGAGAGTCAGATGCGATTGACTAGTGCTTGGGATTTCAGATGATTTCAGCCGCATGTCAGCTAGGTTCGGTTGGGAAACAACTCCTAGTCCCATGCTCCAAGCCCTCAACCCTAGAATACTATACAACTCGTACAGTAGAAGTTGAACCGTGATTGTCATGATTGCTCCCACTTTTCAAGACTTTCATTTTTTGAACACGCGCTGGAGCGTGGCTTTGGATTCTTCTCCCACGTGCTACCTTGGGGTGGCACTGCAATTGGCGGTGCAGCATGCACGAAGCAATGTGTGAGGCTGAGTCGGAAGATGGTACCGCAGAGGGCATATGTGGGCAGTGAGACGACTTGTATCACCTTCCTTGCTCCCCTTCTCTGAACTTGCACATTGCTGATCAGCTCGATACTTTAGCTGGCTGCTGTCCTGTGATTTGAAAATGTACCGGCTCTGTGCATGCCGAAAGGCGCAACACAGATGCCAAATCGGGAATGTTGCCTGAAAGCGACTGGGCTGCTGTCCCACAGACATTAGTGGAACGGGAAAGGCGGCATCGAATGCTTGAGATGCAGCAGCAAGGTGCATGCAGGCATGCAGGAAGGGTGGAAGCTCGCGTTTGCAAGGACCTGCGTGACCTCGACGCTGTTGAAGTGGAGCAGATGCCAGAGGTAGCCTTTCTGTGCAAGCTGCAAGTGGGTGTCGCCATGCCCAAGCGAGTTCCGATTGTGGAAGGCAAAGCGTCAGCGTTTGCCAGGGCCCCACTGCCAAACGTCCGGTGTCTCACAGACCTGAGGTGCATGTTCGGGAAGCAGTTGTAGTTGCTCCCTCCCAGGTTTCTCAAATCCGAACCCCCTAAGCCTGTCTTCGTTTCTTCACGTTGCAACCGTTCGGCTGGACTTGTGGCCCTGTCAAGGTGATGACACATGCTGCTTCCGGCGTATGGCTGCGAAAACATGCCGAGTTCGCCATGTGCATCATGCCTCGCTGGACTTCCCGCAATCCAGCACCTTTGCGCAACAAGACGGTTTTGCAGGCTGGAAGATCACGAGATTCAGGCTTGTTCCTCACATCCAGCCGCCTCCTCGACATTCCTGCGGGAGTTTGCACCCTTTGCACCGTATGCACCCGGAGCATCCTGAAGCTGCGCATGACTAAAAAGGCTAGTTCCCATATTTATGTTTTGATGTTATGACTTCGTGGATGTTTGTGTGCGTCGTGCATGACAGCTGAGCTTCAGGCAAGGGATTCGCTGGTGCTGCGTGTTCTACCTGTCGCAGTGTCCTCAGCACGAAGTACACTCTGTTCTTGAAACATTGGCCGGCATTGGTTGATAGTCCATGGTTCATGCTGAGAACTGAGAACGTCTCATGCGCGTGGCTTAGGTTAGTGATGCTGCAGGCCCCAGCTACAGAGCTGCGACAGCACGTGCTGTTAATCTAACTGTACGATTGCCGATGGTAGCCATTAACCATTGCCAGGCAGTGGCAGCCGCTTCGTTCCAGCCTCTTGGTGTTTGATCGGCTTTAGTACTGACCCGAACCGTTGCTGTATTGAGCAGCACGCATCAGACCATTGGGTTTTTAGGCAAGTCCATGAGGCAGCTTTTGCGATTCACCGTCTTCTGTCAACGTGTCAACCATGCACGCTCCATGCATGCTGCGTCTGATCGAATGGGTGAGATGGCAGAGCAAAGACATGTTCGAAGGGCACTCTTGTGCGACGAAGGAGTGCAGTAGAACAGTCGTGTGCTTGTGTCCGCAGTTTTCGGGAACGCGCTATAGAGGATCTAGAGAGCCGGCCAGAAGTGCATGCCGCGCTGTGAAACCCGGCTGGCAGCCGAGGCCCATGTTCAACTTGGTGTTCTTCTCCCTCCGGGCCTGCCGGCTGTTGCGTCTGTCTGCGTTGCTGAAATCATGGCATCTCCAAAGCAACTTAGCCCCTTCACTGCGGCCAAGCTTACTGGCTCAGGCAGTTGACGATGGCATCTTACAGCTAGTAGCTCATGTGACTCATGCGTTAGCGAAGTTTCCGGTGCATGATGATGATGGGGCTTGATGTAATGGGGCTTGATGTCAGCTTGACGGAAGCTTACTAGGAGCTTCATATGTACTTCATAGAGCTTTGGCACCGGGCACCGCTTGACTGCGCCACATGTGACGTCATCTCGGGCGAGAGCGGCGCTTGCCGTGGCAAAGCGATCCCGTCGAATTCCTTCACATGCTGCTTTTCTGTGGGGAATGCAGGCCTTTGCTGTGAGTTTTAGCAGGCGCAATGAGTTCAAATGAGTCCTCGTAGGAAGGGGGGAAGTGCAGGTGCCCACTATCAGCCTCCGGAGCTTCTTTGAGGCCCGAAGTCCGGTAAGTCCGGCAAGTCCGGCAAGTCCGGTACGTGAGTGCGTTTTTTTGGGCTTCGTTTTGGTGTTCGAAGTTCAGCAGGCCGAGGCCCAGTGCACGACCTTGGAGGAAGCCGAACCTCGCAGAGTCTCACATAGTCTCACAGAGCAGAGACTCCGTGTACGAAAACCGCAGGAGCTCGGCAGCAACTTGCAAGTTCTTGATCTCGCCGGCCAGCTGCGGAAAGCCTGCGAAGAGGTGCAACACACAGAGATGGCAAAAGAAATATCGCCGTAAGTGAGGCGAAAGGTGTCAAACGGTGGACAAAAAACCAATGGCAAGCAAAGCGTCGAAGAAAGTTGCGATTACTCCGTGATCACAGGTTGGCTTCTTCGTCGTGACCGACCATGGCGTGAGCGAATCCTTGATGGAAGGTCAGAAGCAAAGGTACCCACAGCAAGGCCTGAAGTCCTGGTCGAAGAAGTATGGTGTGCTGAGGCTTCCGGCAGGAGTGTACAACCTTCTTCAGCCGCAGCCCACAATCGAATGTGCCCTCCCAGCATGATTATAGGACTATTATAGGCTTCTCTCCCAAGTTGTCCTGCTCTAGCAGTGGCGCGTTCCGCGCTTCCTCGGGTTGGTTACATGTGTTCACACGAATTTTGGTCGTCTGGTGCATCTTGGCAGGCTAAGCATGGTCTGCGGTACGGACAGCCGGTTTGTCTGGTTGGACTACGCCAGACTCTGAACAGAGCATGTTTCTTTTTGTGTAAACAGCAAACGGACCATTCTGTGCATAGCAGCCCATGCGGTTGTGAGTCCGTGACTTCGAAGAGCCCTGTTTAGCAACAAAGCTTCACAGAGTTCAGCTTTCGAGAGGTTCCCGCTGAACCCGGAAATGATGCTGGCGGCTGAGAGTAGGGAGAGCAGGGGCAGCATGGTGTACCATGTGACCTGCAATTTCGCTGGATCGTTGTAATTGTCAGGATCGAAGCAGCTACTCCCTGGGGCCAGTGCAGGGCCGAGGTAGCCTGCCTTGGCAGTTGGACCGTAAGGCGGGAGCCGCAGGTGATTTCTGAACATTTCTGATAAAGCACCAACCAGGTAGCCCATCTTTGTCAGGAACTTGCAGATGCGTGGGCGAAGTACTACGTGTGGACCTCGGCTAGTTCCGCTACGTCCCCACGTTGTCACGCTTCACACAGAGGCCGCCATGGAGGGCCTGGTCGCTGTACTCATGCGGCTCTTCGCCCTGGCCATGCAGCTTCCAGCCACTCGATTTCTTTCTTAACTTTATGTGTCATGAGACAACTTCATGACGCCATATGCATCACGCAACAAATCAACTAGTACTCTTCGTCCATCAGATTGTGAGTTGCCTCTTACTTACGAGGGTACCGCATATCTAGGGTCATCCATGTGTTTGTGTTCGTGTTGGTCTTACTAGGCCTTGGCGTGTCTTCTCGCGCCGAGATCGATGCCTTTGCCACTGCCTTGGAAGGGCACCGGTCATCGATGCGGGCGATCCTCTATCCTCGTGTCGCTGAGGAGCCCGGGGGGCTAACCGGCTGCCAGCTGCTAGTGCTGAAGCTTTAAGAGCACCGTTCAGCTTTGGCTTCGGCAGGAAGATCTACAAGCTGAAGGAGCAGTCGTCAGGTCGCTGGGTCCTCGGACTTTATGTCATGTGAGCCTGCAGATTTCTTCCGCTAAGGCCAGGGCACACAGACTGGGGCTGCGTCACGGTCGCCTTGGCAGCAGTTTGCTTTGTGAGATCTCCCTGAAGATTCTTTTTTCCTGGGGGCTTTCCTGCAGACATGTGCGGTGATAAAACGGTGCTGTGTGTTTTCGATTGTTTTCGTGCATTTATGCCTGCACGGGAGGGAAGCGGCAGACGTCACCAGGATCATCTATCCATGATTCCCCCGCGATGCGCTTGCTCTTTTTATCCCTAGGCTACTCCTGGGTCTAGAGTATGTTTGGGGTTTTGTAGGCGAGCCGGTAGCTTTGTGACATGTCAGGCGTGATTTCGGGGGTCGGGGGGGATGGGGTGCGGTTGAACAGGATGGGGTGGGGCGCTTCGCCTTCGCAGCAAGGGCACCTGCTGGAACTTCCCAAAAGCCCAAAAAGCCCTACCCTCCACACCTAGAGTTCTGTCGGCCCCCGCCCCCCCCCCCCCCCCCCCACCTCCCCCCTCCCCCCAGTTTTGAGCTTCTTTGCAAGTCAGTGCTTCAAAGGTGCTGAGATGTGCTGAGGCACTGTAGACAAGAGGAATGCAAGAAAGCTGCAACAGAGATGCAAGGTTCTCTTGCCAGATCCAGAGATAGCGGGCTTGGAGGTGTGTGACAAGGCTGGGAGTCAGTACGGGGTACGCAGCGTGTGACTGGGAGGTCTGAGTTTAAGAGCCGAGCCTTTTCCAATACAGAGTACCCCACCTCCCGCGACGCTTTTCTATGTTTGCTTTGGTCCTTACTAGCTCTCTCTTGCTCGTGTTTGTATCATTATAATTTCTCTCTCTCTCTCTCTTCTCTCTCCAGTCTGTCAGTCTCTCTGAGTTTCTCTCTCTTTTTGAGGCTGTCTACTCGTGGTCTCTACTTTATCTGTCTCCCTCTCCCTCGCTTCTCGGAGACAGGATGGCTGTTGGTTGCCACTGCGAGCAGAGCGAGGAGGGCTGGTGGTCAACCTGGGCGGCTTGATTCGTCTATATTCGTCTTGCTTTGAGCTTTGTTATACTTTGTTGTTGTTTGAACACAATGAACACAATGAACAATCCCTTCGCACATCCATAAAGGGCATTGGAAACCCTAAGCCTTCGAAGCGCTGGACAGCTCAGGTGAGCTGCTGCAGTGGTGGACTGGCGGCAAGTGGCTGGCGACACCACACAGGGTCATCGCAAGGCATGCTCTGATCATGCCATAACATGATATACTCTTTCCCAGCCGGCAAGCTTGCGGGGACCTTGAAATCTTCGCAGATGTCGAGTCTTGCCCATGCGGCCTGTCTTGCCGTGTGCTAGTCTATACGAGGGCAAGAAGTTTAGAAGGGCAAGAAATGCCAGAACAGAAAAAGTAGGTCTAGACCTGCCTGGTCGGTCTTGCCAGTGGTGTTGCCCGTTTCGTGCCTCTGGCCTGCTGCCCCTCTGGCACACTCTGAAGCGCCCTTAACAACAACTCCCGAAGTCTTCCGCATGGAGCTGCCTCATTCTCAGGGCACTGATAGCATTTGAAAACATGTCGCTGTAGTTCCCCAAACAGTCTAATGTTGGGGTTCTGATTTCATTTAAGGATCGCCGACATTCTGAGGACTGTTGCCGGGTTCCTGGACTCCTCGTCTCCCTTCGTCTCCCTTTGTCTCCCTTCGTCTCCCTTTGTCTCCCGTTGTCTCCAGCGTTTCTTTGACGTGCCTTTGACTGTTTGGGGTCTTCGGTGGTGTAATTGGGCTGAGCATGAGGCTGATGGCATAGTCGGAGCAGACAGGATGATCGTAAGAACTGTGCCAGGCCGGAAAGTGCGGGCGATCGCTTGTCCTGCCCGTGCGCATGCAAACGGTTTTTCTGTCAGTCAGCAACCTGGACCACTTCAGTTGGTTGCTTTGACTCGGCACCAGGTACTTCGGGCTTGTCAATCGCCAGACGCTTCTGCGACCTTTGCTGGCAGACTCGACAGGTCAGGTGCCGTCAGTTTCGTGATCCAGTCGAGTTTATTTTGAGTTGTACTGGGGGAAGGAGACGACGTCGAGCCCTCGGTGACTGCAGGCGAGTTCTTTCAGTCCCACGAAAAGTACATCAGGCTGCGCTGCATTGCATGAGCTTGCGGAGCACAGTCGATCGACACTGGACTCGGAAATGGCGATTTGTTGCAGGCCCTGGCAAGAACGCTGGAAAAATTGTGGAGAAAAAAGATGCGACGTGTGAAGAAGCGTGAAGGGCGTTCCCAGAGTAGTGGCTGGACTTGACAAGCCTCTTGAACGGTACCGCTCCTGTGCATGGCCATATCTGGCAATGCTCCTCTCAAAGCGCAGGTGACAATCTACCTATGCATCATCTTTGCACTGAACTACAGCTTGCAGACCATGGTCTGGACCCCGTCGGACAAGCATGGCTCTGCACGCTTGAATGCATGATGGTGCGCGATCCCAGTTCTGTGTGTTCAGTTTTCAAGCATCTATGTTTGCGGCTGCAGGGCCAGATAGTCTAAGAGTCTAAGACGCAGCTTTGCCTGTGCTACTCTTGTAACACTTGCGGGCTCCGCAGTCTCTGTAAATGCAAGAGACCACACGACGGCACAAGACCATCTTTTCTGTGCTTGGCAACCGAACTCTCAGCACGATCAAGACTTGACAGCTTCCCCAATGTGTACCGAAGGCGTACGGCATGGAAGTGTGGGCCTCAGCATTGCTCCCCATTCCTGTGCAGGTGTAAGGGGTGCCATGGTTAGGCACCGTTAGGGGACTTAGCCGAGTCTAGGTAGTCCGTTGACTTGTCGTGTCTGCGTCCAGAATCTGCCACAGCTTTCGCCGACACTGGCATGCTGCCATGATCCGCCATGGATGTGGTCCGCACTGGACTTCTGAAGCCCTGAACTGCTGGCCCGTGCTGTGGCAGGGCCTACAGTTCTGTGCGATGGCTGTCTTGTTCTACAGGAAGCACGAGGCCCTGACACGCAGTCAGGTAGTCGTAGCTGGTGTTTATGATATTCCTGTGTGACGAGACTTGAATTTCAGGAAAACATGCTGTGGCCAGCAAGGGGCAGCAAGGAACTGATGTCAAACACAAAAGGTTGCAGCTTCAACTTTGTAAGTTATCAAGTTAGGATAGCACAAGAATGGCAAGTCAAAGTTGGTCCGTGGCTGTGTAGGCGCTGCTTCGCTTCCGCTCGGTTTACTACTTGATGCTCTTCCGGCCTTTGGCAGCAGTCTCAGTCCAGCCGAGTCACCGCGAAGGCGACAGTTGCAAGTATACCAGGTGCTCGCCACCATCCAGCTAAATCTCTTGACCGAGATTGACACACAGTGGGTGGTGTATTGCCTTAAGGAGGCCTGCAGATGACTCCGACGATTTCGCTCTCCCTCGTTCTTTTCTCGTCTATTCTGTCACCCTCTCCTCTTGTGGGGCCAGAGAAGCGCGCTGCGTTGCAAGCAACGTTGTCGCTGTGCTGTGTATTGCAATGCATTCCAGTACGAGAGGTGATGTGAACTTAGCTCAGACAAGTGTTCGCAGCGCATCTTGCGAGGCTTCCCTCTGGTACATATACTGGCAACTTCTCCTCGCCGTCCAGCCCTTTTACAGCCCAGCACGCAGTTGCTCTCGCTCAAGTCTACAAGCCCTTGAAGTCTCACGACTAGTGACAGTGATATTTCTCTACTCCGAGCACCAAGGAGCAGACTTGTTCATGGATTTCGCGAGCGCTGCACTTAATGACTTCACCGAATCACTACAAGTTGCTCTTTGTGTGTGTTCGTTTGTCCTATACGCAGGTGGTACTCTGCACGGAAATGTGGAGTCGAGAGAGTCGGGGTCACCGGCACCCGTGCGCCAAGGTGGAGAAGGCTCTGAGTTCTTATGTAGTCATTTCGGCTTCAGCTCAGGAAACAGACAGGCTGACAGTGGTCAAGCCAGCGTCTCTCGAGCATCCACTTCGGGACGAAGGTGTTACAGCCCAAACTTGCACGCAGGACAATGGGAGGAGTTTGCAAGAGCCCACGCGAACCGCGTGGCGGCTTGGCGCCTGGGAACAACGTCGTTTCTAAACAACAAGATCTGTACATTGTTCTGGGCAGGTCAACATGGACGGACCTGCGCAACTTCCAGTTGTTCCAATGCCAGGTGAGCCAGGCCGTGTGATGTGTTTCGGGAGGATCTGCACGCAATGTGCTGACCGGCTGCACACAAATCGCAGGACCTGCCATGTCAAATGTCGATGGAAGCCGTCTTAGATTGGAAGACGTGTCAAATGTGCCGCTGAATCTGCGAATGTCTCCTTGCTTCAGTTCAGGTTTCCTGATGCTGCAAGCTGCGGTCCAGGCCCCCGCCAAGTGAGATAAGGGTCGAGGTCTGCCCCAGTGTCTGGCTATTTTGGCAGCAATGCGAACCATGTTCGAACGACTTATTCACACGGTGCCTTTCAGGAATGGACGCCGGGCGAGCTTGCGACTCCCTACTTCCAACTGGCAGACTAACAAAACGTCGAGAGTTGGGAACTTCAATTCATTCCTATTCTAATGGGTGGCGAGAGACTATGGGTTGAGAGAGAGCCTTGATTCGATTGGGGGTGAATCGCTCGATGGGTTGTTTAGGTTTGGGGGCTAGACTCTAATCTAAATAAACCCGTTAACTCTTCAAACCCACGATGTTGAAACTTTGGAATGCAAACTAACCATACCCCGAAGTGTTTTTAGTATACAATGATTACTTGGAAAAACGATAAGAATTCTAGCCAAAGATTTTGTTTTTTGTATACACACACTCTAAAACGATAAGGAGTAGAAACAAACGATTATAATATTCGGGACACTTATTTCCCCACGTGAATTGGGCTTGAAGAATTTGATCATTTGAATATCTGATTATCTACTTTCTTGATATACTATTTTAGTCATATAGATTTATCTCATCTCATCCCTATAAAAGGCTACGGGCTCGACCCCTATTTTCGCTCTGCGGCCGCCCCGTCGGATGCCCCGCCTCCTCTTCCGGTCCATTTGGCTGCTTGTGAGGGCCTTGCAGGGGGATCCTGAAAATTCCGGGAATTTTAACACTTTTTGTCTAAAAATCCTGGGAATTTTGGGAATCACCCGGAGCTGAAAATTCCCGGAATTTTAGGAATTGTCCGGATTGAGGTTTGGGCTTGCCGGGTTGGATTTAAGGTTCCAGCGCAACAGTGATGACGTGGGTGCCCCTTCACCTTCAAGGAAATCTTCAAGGAAATCTCTTGGTCCAGGGTAGTTCCGATGACGGTCGCCGCCCGCCAGCTGTTCAAGGGGGTTCGGCCTCACGATCACATATCAGCAACAGTTCTCGAAAAAGCCTAGAATTTAAATTCCGGGAATTTTCGGGATCCCCCGGGTTCAGGGTTTTACGCTTTACTGTGTAGGGTTTTGGGGTTTAATAGAAATTGTATAGGGTTTGTGTCCGGAGTTTTGTCGTGTTTTGGGGGGGTTTTGTTTTTTGCTTTTGTTGTAATGGTTTGGGTTCTGTCGGGTGGGGTGGGGGGTGGGTGGTTTTGGGGTGCTGAGGGGTTGGGGCTGAAAGGTTGGGGTTTTGGGGGGTTTTCCCAAATGCCCGTGGTGATGGTCCCGTGGTGGTGGTCCGTGGTCCCGTGGTGTTCGTCGTGGAGGTCCCACAGCGTGGTGGTGGTCCCGTGGTGGTGGTGCTCCTTTGGTAGTGGTGGTCTGTCGTGGTGGTGGCGGTGTCCGTGGTGGTGGCGGTGGTGGTGGTCCCTGGTGGCCGTCGTGGTGGTCCCGTGGTGGTGGTCCCATACTGGTGGCGGGGTGGCGGTGGTCCGCGGTGGTGGTCTCGTGGTGGTGGTTCCATGGTGGTGGTCCTGTGGTGGTGGTCCCGTGGTGGTGGTCCCGTGGTGGTGGTCCGTGGGGGTTGGTCCGTGGTGGTGGTCCGTGGCGGGGGTCCGTGCGGGTGGTTGTGTTGGTGGTCGTGGGGGTGGTCTCGTGGTGGTGGTCTTGTGGTGGTGGTCTCGTGGTGGTGGTCTTGTGGTGGTGGTCTCGTGGTGGTGGTCTCGTGGTGGTGGTCCGTGGTTTGGGATCTTCTTTTCAGGAATGCCTGGATTATTTGAATTTCGATTCATAGAGGGGATTCCATAGGACTATCGAAATCTAATATCTTGATGCCATCGTAACATTCTTGGATCTATAAGAATGACTTATGAATTTTCTTTTCATTCGAATTCTTTGTAGGATGTCTTTCGCGCAGGATCATCGATCGAATCTATCTCTTGAATACGATGGATATTATTGGAGGAGATTGAAATCATATTTCGTCTCATCAGAATATTTTTTGAATTGGAGGTTCGCCTCATTTTTGATTCTTTGCATTTAGGAATCTTCGATTCTTATTTTTTTTCGTCTTTATGGGATGACTTGTAATTGGGGGTGATGACGGATTCTTAAGCACGTCGAGACATCTTGGAGAATTCGAAATTCATCTTGCTCTCGTGGATGAGGATTCTCTTTCATTTATTTAGGCGCACATGACGCCTGGATGATGAATTTCATTTATAGAAAAAATTTCCGGATTGGAATTTGGGCACTTTCTCCCTTCAGGCATCCAGATCCTAAGTCTTAAACGACAATTCCTAAATCTTGCCTTCACGCTTCATCATTCGTTCGAGTTCTTATTGACGCTCGCGTGTCAGGCTCTCAGAATTCTATAAAGGGATCCCGAAATTAAATAGATCTTTTATTTGTCCGTATTTCTTCAAAGTTTTGGCGTACGTCTTCTTCCATTCAATAGGCGAATATGCCGTCGATGGAATCGACGGGTCCCTTCTAATATGAATTATTTTTCAAGATTCTGATGATAAGATACTTGCAGATACTCTTAGATAACTATAGATATTATACTCGTAGACATTTCTAAATACGCGCAGACATTCTTAATGCAGATACGTAAGCATTCAAAGATTCAGGCACTTTGACACTTAAATACTCAATTATTCAGATATTTAGACAAGTAGACATTTAGATATTCAGACACTCAGATATTCGGATATTCAGATACTCAGACACTCAGACACTCAGACATTCAGATATTTAGATATTTAGATACTTAGACACTCAGACACTCAGACACTCAGACGCTTAGACACTCGGACCTTCGGACATGAATTCTTGTTGTTTCCGATGATCGTGGGACTTGGGGCCTAATTGGCGGGTTTTTCAATTGCTCCAGGTCTTGTTATCTTGATTTTCTGGTATCCGATCTTGAATTATTATGGAGTTCATTTTTTTCGATCTTGTATTGATCGAATATTGGGTCACGAATTAGGATTAATTGACACTTTGGGGAGTAGAAATTTCTCATATTATTCGTAGAAGTCATCTATATTAAATCTTCCCAATAATTTTGGAGTCTCCAGAGATTCTTCATTGATATTTTTGAATGTCGAAATCGTTTTCACTACTTCCAAATTAAATCCATAACTTATTTCATATTTGGGAATATCATTTTGGATCACATACATTTCCCCCAATGAAGATTTCGTGATGAATTGGTACTTTTGGGAGCGCAAGTCTCTTGTACCGAAATGGGCCTTAGGTTGCTATAATCCTACGGCAATTGTCCACGCAAATTGCGCCTACTGGTGAGGACACGAGATCTGATTCTTCAACGTGAATTGATCTTGAAGAATTTGATGATCTGATTATTTGATTATCTACTTTCTTGGACCGCTCATTCAGATATTCAGATGGGAATTGATCTTAGAGAATCTGTTTATTTGACTGATATTCAGACGTGAATTGAGTAATTTAGGATTACAAGTTTCTGAGTATGCTTCGCATGGTGGGCCCTCCCCTATAGAATACTTCATGCGAATGAAGAAAATCAAGCAGGCGCCTGTCTCCTAGTAATCGCTGACCTGGTCCAATCTGGAGGTCAATTTTTTCGGGTGCCCTTTAGGACTTAGGATTTCGGGTTTCGGGGTACCTGCAGCATAAGGAGGCACCCATATGCTCTCAATATTTGGGGCTATATATACAGGGTCCACGCAACCCCGCAAGAATCCTATAGGACCCTGTGAAAAGCAATTCCGGACCCTATATAGGGTTTAGGGTTGAGGGTTTGTAATTCCTACCGGCCCGAAATCCCAGAAACCAGCCTCTAAATCCTTACCTTGGAGCCCTGCTCGATGCCCATCCCTAAATCTCCGAAACCCGCGACCCTCGGTTTAGGGATAGGGTTGGACCACATATTCTTGCGATGCTGTCTTTGCGGCATGCTCGCCATCTTCAATGATGTATACAGCCAAACCGAGGGTTTTGATATCCAAGACTGAACATGCATTCATTTGGGCGGCACTGATTGCCACTGTTCTCAAGCGAGGTCTTGTGCTGAGCAAGGTGTAATAATGATCACTTCTTGTTTTTGCCTACCCGGCCCACACTTTTGGGGCTGCTATGCTTGCGCGGGAGTCAGAAAATTGTACATTCCCTTGACTTCTTGTGGCCACCCCAAGCTTGAGGAAGCTGGTGCCTACTCCTTTTGCATGAGCATCTCTACCATGAAACCGGCCGCAGGCAGATTAAACAGTGGCAACCGTCAACATGATGTGACGTTACATGTCTCTTCCTGTCCGTCAGCCTTAGGCATCTTAATAGAAGCACGAGAAAGCTTACAGCAAGAATTAGGGTTTAGGGTTTAGGGTTTAGGGTTTAGGGTTTAGGGTTGAGGGTTGAGGGTTGAGGGTTGAGGGTTGAGGGTTGAGGGTTGAGGGTTGAGGGTTGAGGGTTTAGGGTTTAGGGTTTAGGGTTTATAGAAATTGTATAGGGTTTGGGTCCCAATAACGTTTTGAGCGAAAGTTTTGAGCGAAAGTTTTGAGCGAAAGTTTTGAGCGAAAGTTTTGAGCGAAACGTTTTGAGCGAAAGTTTTGTGCGAAACGTTTTGTTTTTAGATATTAGGTTTTAGGGTCGGCGTGGCGGGGGGGGGGGGGGGGGGGGGGGGGGGGGGTGGACGGCAGATGATACGACGGGCCGGATCCTGTGGTTCGCCTGGCTGAACCTGGAGAGGCGACTTTTTCAGTTATTGTAGTTGTCGTGCAGATGTTCATTTTTTAGCGAGTTTAATATCAGCTGCCTCGCGCGTTCTGATATACTGAGTGGTGGTTTCCGATGATGTTATTTGTTTGTGACATGAGCCGGAGGAGGACGACCTGGTGCAGAGTCCTGCACTGACAGAGGAAGCAGCTTGGCGGAAGATTATTAGATGAGATTGTGGCAGACGATACATGTTCTGTTGCTTCGCTAGGTACTGTGCCCCAAAGTTTATCTGCGTGATGCTTGTTTATTCTTGAGGATTTGGGAGATGCAGAACCTCCTCCGCCGGTGACTCAATATTCTGGCATACGGATTATATGAACGAATTAAGTGACTATGACTGTAAGTGTTAGTGAATGTCGTGTAGCAAGGCTGAGCATGACGTGCGATCAAAACCGCGACGTCCTGGACCGGCTGCAGCGGTTGTGGGGGCCTTTGCTCCGAGCTAGCAGAGTTGCTGAGTTGGAAGCGGCTCGGTTTCTGTCGGCAGTGCGATGCACTTGGCGGTTGTTGGTTCACTGCCGCAGATATTGAGTTGGTTATTTGTTGCGCATTTGCGCTAGCTCGACAGTATGGTTCATGTATATGAAGGCTGGAGCCCTCTATGCGAGAAGTTGCACGTCCTTCGCTGTGATCTCAGTTTGTCGCCGTTGCAACTCTCACAATTCAGGACCTGATGCTGCAGTAACTTAATTCAGTTCGATCGATATTTTCTTTCGTCCTGCATCTTCGTAATGATGCGGAGCCATGGATTGCTTGAGTTAAGGTTCTTCGTTCCCAGGTGCCCTCGCTCGGAGGCAGGCTGTTGAAATACTGCGGTGTGTTGAATTCTAAATAAATGTTGTGGGCGTGGGTTCGCAAGGCTCCGGAGGACATGGAGCATTTTACGCCCACGGAGGTTGAGTCCCAAACTCTTACATGCGGGCTTGTCGTGGGCAGTGTGGTTCGTTTCATTGAAGTTGTGCAGGCTGCGTCGTCGTTTATTGATGGACAGGAGGGTACTGCTGGATGCTTGGGTTTGCATGTTTCTTGTGTTCGCAGCATTCCTCTTCTGGGTTTGGACTCAGGTCTTTGGCATGTCTCTGTATGGCTCTGAGGACGACGAGCAACAGTGGGCCTGTACAGTGAACCCGCAGTCGCGAAAGTTCGTGTGGTAGGCCCTGGAAGCGATGAGAGCTTGCGTGAAAGAGGTGGCGATACAGTCTCGAGCCGTTTGTCGTCTTGGTTTGTCTTGCCGGCAGTTGGGAGGTGGAGCCTTTGCCTCGAACCGGGATTCTTCACGAATGGGTGGGAGATGAGGCAGGGGTGACTCTCATCTTATGGCCTCGTAATCCGTAGTTCCGGTTTCAGTCCGTGTGTATGCTATCTGTGGCACTAAGTGAAGCTTGTAAACGAGTATTCCGAGCTTGTCATTCAGGCAAATCCGCAAGGGGTGCCAGATCCTGTGGAAGAGGACTGCGATAACAGTTTACTCTGCAAATGTTACTGTGGTGGCGCTGCATACATGCAGTCTGGTCATGATTTGGAGGACCTCGGTGACATTGATGAGCCACCAGTCCGCTTGCTGTGGTCCCAGTGTTCTTGGGCGCTGGATATTTTTTTTGTTCATGTTCGACTTCGTCTGGTCCACCTCCCTTTCCTTACACTGTAGAATGAGCTCAAGGCATTAGCATAGTGGCGCAAGAAAAGAAAACTAATTGGTCGCGTTCTTCGGAATTTCTAGAGTTGAATGAACATGCTGCAGTTACGAGAAGGCTGCGCTCTGTTCCAGAGCTGCCGCCGCCGGACCTGGACGCCTCCGTGCGCCTGTTAGCTCTGCTGTGTGTGCCTTTCTTATTCTTTATCTCTATCTAGGCGGACATCGCGTCGCCCACAGAGGCAGGGTCTTGGGCATGCTTCGACACCGCTTTAGTTCCTTGGGCGTGAAGCAGGTGCCGTCTGACTGCGACGCAGAAGAGGCTGCCGTGGAGGCCTTGCGTGTGTTAGAATCCTTTCTTGGCTGGTGTTTCGTGAGTGTTCTTTCTAGCGGAGTTTGCTCCCTGGTTTCGGTCGAGGTATTGGGCATGACCTTCCCGACATGGTCAGAGGAGCTCTTGACTGTGTTTGCTCGTGCGTCGGTGATGGTTGTTGCTCGTGTGTTGCGATTGTATGTGATTGTCACATCTGTCACAGCTGGATACTTGCAGGGGCATCCCACCGTGCTTCCAGTGGCAGGGGCTTCACCAACCGAGGCTATGTACTACATGTAGACTTGTATGGAAGTACTTGGAGCACCTTCTGGGTGGTGGGTGCAGGCTCCGAGTGAGCAAGCCTTTGTGAATGTGAAGAAGGAAGATGCCTGCGTGAGTTGTTCAAGTGTATCTGAAATTTCGATGCGTGTGGAAACAGTTGAAACATGTCCAGGAAAGTGGCAGCGAGTACAGCATTGGGACACAGGCGAGAGTTCGTTGGAGCAATTGAAATGTTCCCTCTCGAGTAGACGTGGAGAAGGACAACGACACGGGTTCCGCGGGGGACGCTGAGGTGTCGAGCTTCAGATGATGTAGCCAGAAGTTCTGGTTTTTCGTCTGTTGACAGGCATGTCTGAAGCGGCTTCGTCGCTTGCAGCCACCGGAGGCGCGAGTGTTTGCATTTGTCTTGATCACAGGAACAGTCTTGACTTTCATCTAGTCTACGAGTGCATGTATCGCTTGTGCAGTTCCGGTGCATAGTACTTGTGCGAAGTTGCCCAGGAACTTGCGGAGATGGACGACTACGAGCCGTCACTTGGCTCTCCGGTGTCTTGGCGATGCAAAGCTGGTGCCGCTGTATTTTAACAGTGCACGCGAAGTTTAAAGTTTCACTCTCTTGTACGTGCTGGTTGACGCCTAACAAATGTTTAGTCGTTGAGATGGGAACGCCCACGGCCTGGAACCCAAATCTTGAAAAACAATTCACAGACTCGTTTTCCCTCTTCCATTTCTGGCTTGTTGTGGGGTAGGAGCAAAAATTTTCCTCTTGGTAATATCGAGAGCCCGAACTCCAGCAGCCTCAAAAAAATCTTTCAACCAAATAGGCTTGCAGGGCGAAGTCTGGGTTCTGGGACACAAAAGTCTGGGTTCTGGGATACAGCAACAAGCCGCGGAACATGACGCCGCTTTGACGAAGATTGTGTTGGGGGTGATGCTAGAGCATTGCACGTGCTGCGAAGGATGATGTGTGGATGTTACCTGTTTCATCGGCTTTTGTCCTTGAGAGGAGCCAGACAATCATGATGAGAAGGATGAGGAATGCGATGAGGACTTGGATGAGGAATGCGATGAGGACTTGGATGAGGAACTGGAAGAGGACAGGCTGTTGAAGTTTTTATCTGATGTTTAGAGCATCAGACTCTCGTTAGGTCGTAAATGGCTCCGCATCCTCTTAAGATCTGCAAAGTCTCGTGACCGCACAAGGAGGACCAAGTCGAGGACGCTCTCTTGGAGGACGGCATGGAAATTACAGTGTGGACGGAATGTTGAGAGTGCGACATAAGGCCATTGTTCTGAAACTTGACAGCTTAGTCCCTGCTTCTTGGCGGGAAGAAAAAAACGGGAGCTTTCCGAGGAGGAGGAGGAGCTTGTCGAAGGGAATGGCGATGTGATCGGTGCTTACGATTTTGGAAAATACCCGAAGGTCTGGAAGCGTTGAAGACACACGATATCGTGGCAAGAGGGAGCTGACTGGCAATATGTCACGTAACACCTTCTCGCTTTCCTGTTCTATGTATGGTTCTGCATTTGGTCCAGGCGGAGCCAAAGCGTTGCTCTCTTGCGGGCCTCACGCTGGTGCAGCACGTGCCCCTGGATGAGAATGTCATCCAGCTTGAGTCGCTTGGCAGGCTCGCGCCGGCTTCGGCATCGAGCAGGCTGCCAGGATAGCTCTGAAGTGTGGCAGTTGCTAGAAGCTGCGGCGCAGGCTTGGCAGAGATCTGGAGCTCTGGGAGGGCAGCTTCCGCAACAGGGTTCACAAGCCCAACGAGCTGCGCGCCATGTTTCCCGGACATGCAGGTGCTGCGATGAGTGTTGTGCATATGTCTCTTTTCAATCTGTTCTGTTCATTTACATTACATCTTCCAGGTCGCCCTGAGGGGACTCTGTATGCAAGAGTCTTCCGGGAGAACGGGAAGGTCTGCTACAGCGTGTCGCCTTTGACTGCTTCCCCAGCCGGCAATTTTCTGTTGGCGTCTTCGTTGTCAGAAGATTGGCTGAATTGCGTATGCTGTGAATTTGTGGTTTCTGTTGATTGATGCACGTCAACGTCTGTGCATGTGTGCCGCTTTTCAAACACGTGCATTTTTATATGGGTGGCAGGAGGAGTTTTACGCGCGGCTGCAGCTCTTCTTGACGCCTTCTGGGCGCACGTGTTATTGGCATGATACCGTGCAAGTGCACGTGCCATCAGAGGCAGAATGCCGCAATGAGGCCGGTGTCTGTCATTTTGCTTTTTGGCCGGTTCGTCGAGGCACTGTTACGCTTCCTATCTGGCTACTCACCAGGACGGCGTTGACTTTCGAGCCGGACAGGTGGATGGCTGAGTTGAGCACGCATGCCCTAGATGTCCAAGCGTGTACTGTTAGTTTTGCATCAGTGCCCAGGCTGAAGTTGACCCTCAGACTGCAGTTCGCATGGGTATGTGGAAACCGGAGGAGTTCATCCACCAGGTAAGTTTGTTCCAAAGCTTGCTGCGGGCTGACGCGCGTTATGACATGTAGCCCTTGAGCAAGCTATCAACTTTTGGATTGCACACTGTTTCCATTGCAGGATGGCTACCACTTTGCGCCTTGCAAGATGTTCCGTGGCATCATTCCCGCTATGGAGAAGCTCAAGCTGGCATATGCCTTAGCAGGTTCTCGCAGGCTAGCTGATTCTGCAATCGGCACTGTTTTGATGGCTGTGTAGATGGATGTGTGCCTGCTGGTTGCGTAGCGAGCGGTAGTTACCTGATGCGTTCACAACACTTGTAAGACTGTGCTGGTTGGTGTCAAGGTGAAGGGAGTGGTTCACATCACCTCCGCGGTGCGAGGGTTGCTCATGCCGCCCGACTGCGTCAAGACAAAGCCCGAGAGTCCCGTCGGGTTGCACGACGTTGATTCGAAACAGGCACCAGCAAGACTTCACCATCATCCGGTAAACAACCACATCCACACCGAGATCCGTGCGCTCAGGACAACACCCACGACCTTGTGCAGGTTATCGACGCCGACGACGCCCAAGTATCGCAACCGATAGCATCCGAAGCGGCCGAACAAGCACCTCAACCCCCTCCCCCACTTCACCCCCACCCGCCTACCGTGGAAGACGAGCTGGACCCCAACCTCATTGGAGGCATCACCACACCCTCCTACCAGCCCAGCCCAAGATCTCCGGTTACAGGTGAACCAGCATCCAGCCGCCCGTTCGAATCACCAGGCGGCAGACAAAACAAAGTCCTCCTCGACATCGTCAATGCATTCGACGACGAAGAACTCATCCAGTATCTTAGCGGCATAGCTCCGAAGCGAGAACCAGGTGACAAGGCCAAAATGGACAAGATCCGACAAGTACATGAACTCACCAGCTCGCTATCAAGATACGCGGCCCCGTCAGCAACAACCTGGATCTCCACCCTCAAGATGTCTGGGCCTAAACTACAGGCCCAGAAAGAAATTGCCAAGAGACTCACGGTATATGCGGAGGCGCATCCAAAAGATCAGGCATACCAGGACATGGTGAAGGCCTGGTCACTTCCCAAGCTCACCAACACAGCAGGGACGGCAGCAGTCGCTATCGTGGTAGCAGGCCTCGCTTCATACCTACATTGACTAGGTACCCTACTCACAACGCAGCAACCCTCCAGACGACTCAACCGCATACACTCTTCCATGGTGAAGTGCATGGACATCGCGAAGAGCGTGGTCCAATACACATTTCACCGCATACCTTTCTTACACAGATACTCCACTTGGCTCTACGGCAAGTTTTGGCTCACCGCTCTTTGCCATTTTCCTCGACGCCAAGTAGATCGACGCAGGCTGGTACGCCTCAAGCAGTTTCACCGTATCACCCCGGAGCTCTACACATTCGAATTTTTCAATCAGCCGAACGCAGTGTACTGGAGAGTCGACCACGGACGCATGTTTGAGCACCTCTATATTGGCAGCACCTCCACGAAAGTCACAGTCAGAGAAGACAACCGACGCAGAAAACACAACGCACTCGCCGCTCAAAAACTGGTCAACGCAGAACCAGCCATACACTACTGGCACACCACCAACACATATTGGGAGTTCGTTCCGATCAAAGTCCGCAGCGTTGACGATGTGGCAGAGTTGCACATGATTGAGCAGGCAGACATCGCGGACCTCCAACCCTCCCTCAACGCCCCCTTCATCTACAAACACTTCAAAGAAGACACAGGCCACACCTTCCAACCCAAGACCATTTGTGACGTCAACATGCTGGCAACCAAACTACGTGCCCGACTACATCGACACCTAGGCAGGAAAACCAGACCTTGGCGAGCCGTCAAGGTACAGATAGACACCAAAACGCGCATGTGGGGCCTCCTCACCGCCCTGTGCTCCACCACGGCTCTGCGATGGAAAACCACCAGAACGTTGATGAGCAGCAACTTCCCGGCCGAGAACATATACACACTACTACGAATGACCAACATCCTTGAATCCCCATACAAGGAGTTCTGCAAGGCAGCATTGGTCAAGGCACTGGACAAGAGACATATGGAGACCCCTAACATAAGACCCCTCGTCACCAGTTTGCTGCCACCTATGGAAGAATGCCAACGCCATCTCCGAGAAGTTCTACGCGCCATCATCGCGAGCCACTACCACGAACTATGTCCACTAAAAATCCCGAAGACCACGGTGGTAGCCAAACCAGGATCCAGCATCGAGGCCCAGTGCCACAACTGGCAGCGAATGTGTTTTGGACCAAAACTTACGAGAAGATGCACATGCCCCAACCCTACACAGGAACTCAGTGAACATCAAGTCATCGACCTTCAGACCGCACACGCATCACCAGAAGACCCTCTACACCACATCGTCACTTACTCATCCAAGACGGGTACCTTCCCGGAACCAGATACTTGGATTTCGCAGACGACGGAAGATGTTCGAAAATGGTGCAGACGCAATGGACTCTCCATCCCATCCAGGGAGGCCGTGCAGCTCGCCCTTGCCCCGGCGGCACAGCTCAGCCACAACGTGAAGGAGCAACACGTGAACCACCACATGGTCAAAAGCCTCAAAACCCAGTACAGCGACTACATCATCGCGTGCGAGGACCACCATCCCCACAAGATGCTAGCGTACTGCCCCCTCCACTTCCAACAGCTCATGGACAAGATGTACGGCGACCCTGAAGTCTTCACCAAGATCAACATCACCCCGACCACAGCGGCGCACAACGCGTGGCACCAACTTCCCCAAAACATCAAGACAAGATACGCCTGGGGCATCAACCCAAACCGCAAGGACAAAGTCCCGGTGTCCTACATCTTCCCCAAGCGCAAGAAGGGCTTCATCAAGTCCCGGCCCATTGTCTCGTTCGCCCAGCACTTCGCCAAGAAGCTCTTCTCCACGGTCGCCAAGATCATCACCAACATCATGTACATCTCTTTCCCCCAAGCGCTGCAACAGGACAACTCCTACAAGATCTTCAAGGAACTTCACACCTTCATGAACTCCAACAACGCGGACATGCACATGCAGATCGCGGACCTAGCGGGCTTCTTCACCAGTGTCCCACAGGAACGTATCCTCCAAGCCCTCATGATCACCATGGACAAGTACTTCGCCAACTCCCAGCACGGCTTTGACACATGGCAGGACGTCTCCATCACCTACGACCCCAAAAAGACGCTTAGGACGGCCAGAACGTTCAATGGGAAGTACAAGCAGATCAACCATGGTCGACGCACCATCTACATGCACGACATCTGGGAGATCACTCAGTACGTCTTGAAGTGCAGCTATTTCACCTCCCAGCAACAAGTATATAAGCAGACCAGAGGTAGCCCAATGGGACACCCAATGTCACCGGTGTTATGCCACATGGTCTGTTGTGTCGAAGAACACCAATGGCATGAGACATATCGGATAGCCTTGGCATCGTGCGCAATTCTCGACCGCTTCACCAAGAGATATGTTGACGACCGCATTTGCATCCTACCACAAAGTTGGGCCTACACGAGCCCTTGGGGCGAGTTTCTCCAAACAGAGTTCTACGGCCCGCCCATATTGTTGGAAGAACAAGAAGAAGCCAACTACCTCGGATGCAACATCGACCTACACCGCAAAGAAGTTCGCCTCATTCTCCCCTCACAGACACACCAGCTTCTTTCGCCACGGGGATCCACACCTATGGTCCACCGTGCCAGTGCATACCGAACGAGACGCCACATGATCTCAAAGATAGCGTATCCCGAGCCGGTTCGTCTACAACAACTCCGAGAACTTCGCGCCCTCTACCAAGCCCACGACCCAGACATGCTGACGTTTGTGCATAGATGACTCGAAGTACCACAGCAAAATCAATATTAAAGACCGCCAGCAAGTGCCCATGATGCGCAGTGACGGATTGCAGTCGTTGAGGTCCCCAAACCTTTCCTCCCCAAGCCCCGTGTCCCGCAGTGAAGTGTGATTTTGATCATGCACATCATGCAATCATGTGAAGTCCGCCCCTACCCTTTCCCGCACCCACCCAGAGCGCTTCTCTTCAGTGGCTGACGCAGTGACAGACGTAGCATAAAAGAAGTTGCCCGGCTGATAGACCAGCAAGTTGATCATCCAATTCTTCACCATGCCGACCAACAAGATGCACGAGGAGCAGACCATTCCGGATCCTCAGCCAGCAAGCCAGCAACATCCCAACAACCAGCCGGAGAGAATGCAGACAGCCTCCGAGATCCCAGATGAGATCGCCAACCCCAACGATCCGATCCACCAGACCACGGACGACGCGGTGAAGCTCCTCATAGACACAGTATCCTCGCAAGCAGAGAAGAT